TTCTCTGCAGGATCCGCCGCCCTACAACCTCCCAACCACGTTCCCATAGTTCCATCAGCAGCATTACACGTGTTAAGATATAATTATTGGTGTTTCTCAAGTATCGGTTCAAGTGCAAAACAAACTTCAAACTCATCAGACCTCGTGAAAGAATATATTACACTGGGTAACAAAAAAATATTTTTCGAAAATAGTCCAGTGTTTTCCAGCTTAATTAGACTAATGTTGATGCTGAGTCCGAAAATGACCTTGGTTTTGATCAATCAGGTCAGGATTTTTTGCTACAGAAATATTTTTTTAAATCGATTTTGCGTAAAAAACAAATTTCTGCGGATCATCAGCTGAGAAACCCTTGACGTTTTTTCCGTTTTGCTCAAGAAATAAAAGTCAACGTATCCAAAGTCATTCAGTTTTTATTTACTCCATCAAATTTGATTCATTGAATTCATAATACGTAGACGTATTATTGTATCTCAAAAAGTTGACCTGATAGAGCAAAATGCATGTGATATTCAGACTCAGAACACCAACATTAGTCTAAATCAGTTGAGAAACCCCTGACCATTTTTTGGCTGTCAACTTGTGTTATGTTCTGACAATTTCGATTCTTGAGCAATTGTTTTGAGTCATCGAGAATTTGACAAACACTTTACTTGGGAAACAGACTGATTTAATTTTCCATTTCTTTTATTTGAAGTCAATCTGGTAAATTAGCAAAAAACAATTAGCAATTTTAAAATAGCAGATTGAAATGTTAATATTGGTTTTAAGATTTTTTTCTGACCACTTTTTTGCATGATCTGTAGTGGCCATTTTAAGATTAGGATTATAAGGATTTTATATTTGTCCCACAGTGAGGACATTTCAGTGTTGCATGATCAGTTACAGAACAGAAGGAATGAGTAGCACAAAGCACAAGATAAATTAACAATTCCTCTATACTAATCAAAAAATCTTGCATGAAAAAGAAACAAGTATAAAAACTCTGACATTAGCAAAATAAAGTATAAAATCTCTATCTTTAGCATAATAATAAAAAGCAAGTATAAAGTTCAGTGTATTCTAGTGCATTAATACAAAGCCATTGCCAGCCCTGTATAGAACTAAAATGATAATATTGTCTGTTTTGGATAAGATGAAGCCATTCCATGAGAAAGAATGTTGGAATTCTTCAGATTTCTGTTGATAATGAAGACGATTATATCTCCATGGCCATTACTCAACCATGACTGTAATCCAACTCTGGCATTCTTCATCTGCGAGAGAGAAAAAGGTTTCACAACATGTACGTAATCATCCAAACTAAACTATAATGTGTTTTGAAAATCACATTTGCAGACTTTCAGTGGATTTCAAGACAATGAAGAACGCACAATTTGACAAAGCGGCTTTCATTGCTAAACTTTAATGATAGGCTGTTTTAAGCCCTGACATAGTAGGGTTGGCCAAATCAGTGCAAAGTGCTGATCTACAGAGAATGTTAAGTCTGAATGATAGACAGTAATCTCAAACCACACGTGTCTGCACTGCTCCCACTGCAGTTGTTTGGAGTTGTTGTGGTCGGATTTTGTTCCCACCGGGTTGTTTAGAGTTGTTCCTGGCAGAAGCGGGAGGGTCTGTTGGACCAGTGTCTGGGTCTATCAGTGGTGATGATCCAGGACACTCAACATTCATCAATATCTATGGACATTTATCAGCATTTATGCACTTTGGTCATCTGTCCCTTATGGACCAATGGCTCTATGTGTGTGTGTGTGTGTTTTTTTTTATAAAGGTAAAGGTGCACTTTATTAATCCCCGTAGGGCAATTCAATCTGCATTTGACCTATCCTGATGCCGCAAAGGCTTGTGTCAGGAGCAGTGGTCGCCGTAGTACAGCGGCCGGGAACCCATCTCCAGATGTTGATGCTTGGCTTGGTCAGGACTACCGGAGCTGAGAGGACCTTCTTGCTGAGAGGCGAGAGTGCTATCCACTCAGCCACCATGCCGCCATCATAATTGCGTCATTGCATTTCTAGTGTTTAATTCTCTGATCCATGTTGGCAAATTCAAGTTTTGTTAAGTCCTTTTAGATTGTTATGATCCAGGGCAATACTAGAATAAATTTAAATGAATTGAATTGAATAAAATGAATCCTAATGTCTATGGGTCAGTCAGCACAGTAGGTTAGGAAAAAATACAGGGTTTTTGCCACATATTCAATTCAGACTGAGCATCACAAACTGGTATCAATAACAAAAATAATACCAAACTGAACAGGAGAAAATTAGTTTGAATATGTTTAAAAACGAATGGTCCACATGGAATATAAAACTTCATCCATTATAATGTGATGCGCTGCAATCTTGGGTGTTCTGCAACTTTCAAAGACTGATATCGAAAGCCATGATTGTCTCTGAGCTCTTTTATTTGTCACGTTCCAGTCTTTCCTGTGAAGTTGACACAAGTTCACAAAAACTATGCCTTCCCAACTTGAAACGCTCTTTCAAGTTGAGTCAAAAAAAAACAGGTCTGCAGGGTATGAAGGCCTAACGAAGAAGCAAAGCTAAAAACAAATAATGATGTATTTTGAGAATTGTAGAGAGTTTTAAAGATTTTGCAACAGTAGAAAACATAAGTGTCACTATAAATGTGTTTGTTTTGGTAACTTTTATGAATCTGTATCAAAGTAGTGCAAAACTTTACCTGGTTATACAACATGAGCACTGCATTTCATCAGCGTATTACTCCTTGTTTGCACATCCTCTGCATAAAAATAATATTTAATTAAAATCCTTTGACATCACAAGGACACAGTAAATCAGTGTGTCCTATACTCTCTCTCTCTCACATCAAAGATTTATGAGTATTTGCGAGCCACGTAAGGGTATAGTGTTTCAGTATTGGCTTGAGGTGACAGGTGGGGGCCAGTCTCTGTCGACACCAACTTAACTGACATAAAAGAAGCTTAGTCAAACTGGGAATATGACTAAAAACTGGTTCAAAATCATAATATCAGGAGTGTGGTGCTTCTAAAAATCCACTTGGGGTCATTTTGTTTTCTTGATACAGACAGAAAAGCCGAGTGGTGACTGGGTGTGTGCTGGGGAAGATAGTCTGGTGATGCAATCCGTCATCAAACTGAAGAAACCTTGACATTTAAGTCCTATTTTGTTCATGCAGAAAAGAAAAAGTTTAGACAAAAGACCTATACTTAATGTATTGTATAGGCATTTAAACAGCAGATGAGGGAAAAAGCCATTATGAACAATTTCAGCTCCTATATGGCCTGTATTGTATATGCCAAGGTTTCTCAAACTGTGGTACACACTGTTGAGCTCCTTTAGGTATAGTGCATAGATTTCTCTGCCGTTTTTAACTTAGTCGTTTTACTACACGTTATATATAAACTTATTTCATTGAATGCTTTTAGATCCAGATTGAGAGCACTTGAGACATCCTCATTGGAATGTAACTGTTTTTTATAATCCGTAATTTTATGAAATTGTATTTGACTGTTTTTATAATATGTATGTAACTGTTTTATAATTTGTAATGTATGTAACTGTATGTAACTTTTGTCCAGGACTCCCTTGAAAAAGAGAGGGAATCTCGATGGGACTTTCCTGGAATTAAAAATATACATTGAGTCTATAACTACAAGTCATGGATTATCCCTTTTCAAGAGGAAAGTCCTGTCTAGTTATAGCGGTAACATATTTTTAGACGTGAAAACGCAGCTGTGTTTTTGCAAATGCAGGAGTCGCTCATAATCCCTACAGGCCTGTGTGCAAAACATTGAACAAGTTTGTGATCGTGAACAGACACAATGAAATAAGAAAAATAAAACTTCAAAAACTAAGAACGATCTAAAAATCCATGTAACTCGTCCCCAGCTCTAAAACAGTTCAATCACTCGTTTTCACATGCATGTATTTTTGGCCACTGTCACAGCTTTTTCAGACAGAAAGTGAAAAGAAACCATCATGCTCAGCCCAAAGTGTCAAACAGTGACTCACAAGGCTCTTACAAGTGTCGCACAAAAGATAAGATAATGGTTTGATTTTGTTCTAAAAGACTTTCTGTTGGTATTGTATGATTTTTATTTTTATAAGGATAATAGCAAAGAGGAGAGATGCATTTTACCAGGTTGAAGCAGTTTTTTTGTATAAAGCTTTTCACCGACCAGAATCACAAAACGCTTCTCATTTAAAAACATACAGATAGATATATATATAACATGCTATTATGGTGAATAGATAACTATGGCCTACGCAGGTGGACAAACGCTAGACAAAATATCTGGCCCTCACAGTCACAAGGTCCGATTGTATGTCCATGTTAAGACTCTGATATGTTCTGATTGTCTCTGGATGCAACATGTATATGTCTTTCTGTGTGTGACGTATCCGTGACGTAACAATGACTATATAAACCATGTCCTGACTTTGTTCTGTCTGAAAAAACTGAAACCTGGAGGAAACTGAATAAACTGCAGGAGCTCTGGAGCGCAAAGATCCCGTCTCTGTGTGGTTCATCTTCCACACTATAATTTAAATAATGCAAACACAAGTCAGATAGACGTGTTATTTATGACAAAATCTAAGTCACCCAGCTTTAATCATGGCATTTAACGCTACAGATTTATTCATCAACCTCATCAGTCGAAGCTCTAAATTGATGAGTAAAACCATAAAGGTCACAGACGGACCGCAGACATCACTCCACGACGCGCGGTTTGATTTCTCTCGTTTGTTTGGTTTCACGTTGACTTTGTTGTAGACGCGGTTTCGGGACAAACGTGTTTCACAAAGAGCCGCCCATGGTACAGACAGTTGGTTTTATACTCAACCTGTTTTTGGTGCTGTACATCTGGCCCCTCCTCCTGCTGCTGACTGTGCCCGGTGTGCGCCTGTGTTCCCCGGGGGGAGGGGTCAGGGGCCTCCGCTGCTGAAAAGACGCTCCTCTGACTCCGCGCGGATCACTCTGTTTCTCCTGTCCACGCATCAGCAGCGGTCAACATGGCAGATGTAAGTTTCCACGCTACTGTGTTTGTTTTTGTTCTGTCTTGTCCTTTATGCGCAGTCTGCATGTGTTACCCCTGTTTTCTTTAGGCTACTTGCAAATCTCTTTTAAATATTTTGGCATTTGGATACACGTTAGAGAGCGTACCTGTATTCAGACATTTCGGCAGGAACTGTTGGAATAAGGAGCACACACCACAAGATACATGGCGCTGTAAATGCTTCTTTAGCCTTTAAAATCTGAAGTAAAAAATCTATGATGCACTCTGGCAACAAAATCAAAGTAAAGGATGTCAGTGAAAATATGCCTTTTATGTATTATGCATTTCAAATCCACCTCTCCACTAAGAAGTGATTTATGTCCAGAATTTTCTAGTTTGACACGTTGTTGCTGCTTTAAAAAAATAAATAAAACTGCACATAGTTAAACGTACCCAACAAATCAGTTGTCTTCCCTTTATGAGCAATCATTATTTTTCCTGATTTTAACCATTTTTCTCTCTTTGTGTGCAGTATGAAACATACACGTTTGACTTCTCCGACAACAGTACGGACAACCTGTCTATCGAGTCTCCAGATTTTGGGCTGGACTACCAAGAGCCATGTGAGAGAGCGGTCAGCAATGATTTCAACAAGATCTTCCTCCCCACCGTCTATGGAATTATCTCATTTTTGGGAATCATTGGCAATGGACTCGTGGTCATTGTGATGGGCTACCAGAAGAAAGTGAAAACCATGACGGACAAATACAGACTGCATCTCTCCGTAGCTGACCTCCTGTTTGTGCTCACGTTACCTTTCTGGGCTGTGGACGCTGCAAGGACTTGGTATTTTGGGAGTTTTCTCTGCGTTTCAGTCCATATGATCTACACGGTCAACTTGTACAGCAGCGTCCTGATCCTGGCCTTCATCAGCCTGGATAGATACCTCGCTGTGGTGCGTGCAACCAACAGCCAAGCCACGAGAAAGCTTCTGGCCAGCCGTGTAATCTACATCGGTGTGTGGCTTCCCGCTGCAGTCCTCACCATCCCTGATCTTGTTTTCGCTCGGGTCCGGGACACTTCCGATCTGCATGTCAATCAGGACGAGAGCATGGAATCTTCTGACGTTCGCATCATCTGTCAGCGAATCTACCCACAAGATTCTAGCTTAATTTGGACAGCTGCGTTCAGATTTCAGCACATTTTAGTTGGTTTTGTGCTCCCTGGGCTGGTTATTCTGGTCTGCTACTGTATCATCATTGCAAGGTTATCGAAAGGATCCAAAGGGCAAGTTCTGAAAAGAAAAGCATTGAAGACAACAGTGATCCTAATCCTCTGCTTTTTCTGTTGCTGGCTGCCGTACTGTTTGGGCATTTTCCTGGACACTCTTGTGATGCTGAAAGTCATCAAAGCATCCTGTGAATTAGAACAAGCCATAGAAAAGTGGATTTCTGTCACCGAGGCTTTAGCATATTTCCACTGCTGTCTGAACCCTATCCTGTACGCTTTCCTGGGAGTTAAGTTCAAGAAGTCAGCAAAGAGTGCGCTCAATATAAGCAGCAGGTCCAGTCAGAAATCCCTTATGAACAAAAAGCGTGGAGCCATTTCTTCTATTTCAACAGAGTCTGAATCCTCAAGCGTCTTGTCAAGTTAAGGACTCTTGAAAATGAGGAAAAAATAAATAACTTAAGCTTTTGTTTCTGTTTGTAAAGATGTAAAAGAGTTTTATAATGTGACTGTGTTTTGCGTTTTGTGAGGTTATACATGTCAAGTTTGCCTTTCCAAAACAGCTAGAAAATGTTCCATCCCATTTTTGTTCTCCTTGGTCAGAGCGTTGACTCTTCCACTGTTCAGGGATTGCTGCTTTTTGTAAAATTGTACATACGTTTTGTAGCATTTGTTTGTGTGCACTTAAGTTGTGTTATTTTTTTTTTGTATGGATAAAAAGTTATTATTTATTACTGTTGTCCACACTGGAAGTTTTGTAAAATAATGTAAATGCATGCTGCTTTTTTATATGTTGTGTTTTTTAATGTAAGAATAAAACATTCTTTGAACCTAACAACAGTTGAGTATGTTGTCTTTGAATTCCCTTAGGCATTGGGGGGTAGAGTAGAGTGCGCATCTTGTGTTGGGGGTAGTTTGTCTGGGCAATAAGCAGAAGGCTAGGCTCACTAACCCTGTAATTGCTCCAACATCTGTGCACTTTTACATCTTAAGCAGCCATGACACAACAGCTCCAATCATCACTTATAATCACCACCCATATGTCTGGCTAACAAAAGGAAAAATAGCATGTTAAGTTCACCTTTGACATGACTTGGTGCAACAAGATTCACTGCTGCCATTGTGCTGGTCTTGTAAACCAATGTAATCCCATTGTCTGGAATAAAACAGGTCAACTTGGCCATGCCCTCAGCTCTACACATTGAGAATAATAGTTAACACATAGCATTGTTCTGAAAGCATGCCATGTCCCAGTGACCTATAGGAATGACAAAAGTAACAAAGTTGACAAATGGACTATGAACATGTGTGGTTGTTACACAAAAAGCTTGTTTGTGAATTTCAAGAGACACAACCACCCATTTTCATTACATTTTAACTGACACAAGAAGACAATAGAGTATGTCTCAAATGCTGTGAGTTGAAACAAGCAAGAAACAGCATTAATGCAGAGTTAATGGCTTGATGATGTGTGTGTGTAAGTTGTTTAATGCCTCTATCCACAGTCAGTGAAGGTCAACCCTATAGCCTTGTAGAAGACAGAGGAATCCAGCAACAATGGACAATAAAGTGGCCAGACTGCCCCCTGTGCAATACGTGACTCTCAGATCAACCAAAGAGGGCATTTACATTTCTTTGCATTTAAAAAAAAAGGTGTGAAAGTGCCCCTATCAAGCTGCAAGTTAATGGGGCTTAGGCTATGGGCAACTACAAAGAGACAGGATAAAACATGAGGATGGTTGTATTGACTTGGAAACGATGGCTGGTGATTCTGAATATGCACTGGGTGTCTAAGCGTGTCATGCGAGCATCAACAGGTCGACATCACCTGCTGTTTAAAACATCTCAAATCCATAAAAAGATCTGTTGTAGTTACCCACCCTTTTGAGTGACAGACTCTCAGGCGTCGTATTGTCTATCAAAGATATCAGATAACAGCCAGTCAATCAATATGTCTCCTCAATCTGTAGATGGACAACTAATTACAAATTCTGTTTCAGATGATTGACAGGAAGCCACTTCACAATAAAACATATGTCCTTAATAATGCTAATCTAAAGCACATATGGTTTCACCGTCCTATTGACCTACTTTGGGAAGATTTTAAGCCGAGATTCTCCCCTGAGAAACGAAGGGGTACTTCCATTCATTATTAAGGGATCTTTGTCTGAGCTGAGAGAAGATCAATAAAGAGCTTTGGCTTGTATGTCATCTCTGAGAGTGAGTTACAAATCCTCGAAAGTAAATATGACTGACAGCCCTATAAGAGAATAATAATGTGTATGTTATAATGGAAACATACATAAGATACAAAGATAATTCATTCATTTTTATCATTGTTTTTTAATCAAACCAATTATGTAAAAAATAGTCTTCCTCAATTTACTGCAATCTATTTCTGTCATATCCACAAATGGTGTGGCTTTGTCTCAACTTTGCTCATATAATACTGGGAATGAATTGGAATTTGTCAATCAAACTGCACATACCATGTTCTAATACTATCATATTAATCTCAGTCTAATATTCAAACCAGTAAATCTTCTAATTTAGGTTGTATATGAGTTTACATATTTTTGGAAAATGAAGGAAATTTACAAGTATCAAATATCGCACCACTAATACCTCACACACATTTAATAAATCCTTGAAAAATAAACAAAAGTGGGAATTTTGTGATCTAAATGGAGTTTGTTTGGCTTATTGGGTGAGAGGCCAAAGTAATTGAAGTGAACAGGAAGTAGCATCTAGTGGACTTACCATTCGTTATTGTTGAGATCCAAAGAGCTGTGTTTACATGAGATTGTCCATTAGATAAAATAAACGGCCGCCTGTATCGTTGAAGCATACAGGCCTATATAGTTGTTATTGATGACATTATGCGTCCCTTTATATAATAGCTCACTGGGGTTAATGTTTATATTGTTTTGGTTGGAAAGTGAGCCAGCAGGAAGGGCTCTTGTGGTCAACAACCTGAGAAAAGCTTTGATGACCCCCCCACTGTATTCAGCCCAGTGTCATTTGCTCCTGTGCTTGGCCACCCTGGAAAAGGTCACTCGTCTACTGTGAAAGTCATCTCTTGAGATGAGTTGTTCATAAGGATGTGCAAAACAGCCCACACAGAGAGACTAAATAATACCAGAGCCATTTGTCAATGTAATTCAGTCTATCCACTTGTTTCAGAATTATGAAACATCTTGGTGATTTTCAATTTAAACAAAATATAATATATAATGATAAAAGAAAACAAATATTGTATACATGAGAATGTTGCATCCACAGAGAAGGTGCAAACCATTGCTGTGATTGCTAATTGTATTATTTGTCATACTATTTTTTTTGTATTCATAATTGTTCAAATATGTGATTAAGCTACAGACTAAAATGTTATAAAGGAATACCTATTTAGTGCTGGAGAGATGCTTATGCATTTAGTTACAAAATGAATGATACTGTAATAAACCTTTATGTAATATTAGACAGCAGAGATTTGTGTGTGCATTCAACATTATTAATTTAATTGAAAATTTGGCAAAGTACACACATGTAACTTTATAAGGGGCTCATTCAGAATGTGGAGTCCCTTGAAGCCTAAAACCTTTTAAAATGTTTTGAAGTTAGAAAAATAGTGGAATACTTAGTGTATTCAGATATGACAACGTAATGATCTATTTCATAGTCATACAACTTTACATACATTTACATTTTACAGAAGCGGAACTGTTGTTGTCACAGAAGTGTTTCTTACCGGACAAGTGCTGCTCGCACTCTCTTCCGGTCTTGTGCATGCTTCTGTGAACAGCTGATGACAAGTCTGCTTGCAGCCTTCCAGATTCTGTCACATATCTCCAACGACACGGTTCAACATGATTAAAGAAGAAGTCCAGGGGTGAGGGGCGTGCACGTTGCACTATTTGTCTTTTATTTAGACCTGATGAAAGTTTGTATATGGTCATAGCTAGACGCTAACTAGCATTTCCCAGAGCATGCTGAAGATTGCATCAGCTGTCAATTCTCTCAGAGATGCCCCAAAGTTATATTGACACACTCTGACTGTCACATTTATTAATAATGACTAATATGCTGTTAGTTTAAGTATAAACGTGATGTAGGAAACACATGCAGCCATCTATGAGATCACAGAAACTGTCACGAAACGAGCAAATGAGTTAATGATTCTCACAACTCGGTAGTTAGACTAATGCGGCGGATCAAAGGATCTGTGGACGTCTCAATAAGAAAATAATGGAAAGTATTTAAAAGTCTAATACAATTCTTCTAACAATTCCTAGGGTTAGGGTAATATCAATAACGTATGGTGCAGAGTTTTGTTTGTATTTTCTTTTGTTTTTTATAAAACCCTAACCCAGAATTTGCTTACAGTGATCAAGGTTCAAGTGATCATGGCCAATTATCTTTTAAGTACAGTATTTTATTTAATTTTAGTGAATTTTAATATTTGATATTTGGAGTCAAAACACTATTAAAAACGATTGCATGTAATCATGTGTACAGTAAAGGACAGGTTTCTATTTCTAACAGTTACCAGAAAATAAATAATATTATTAATTACTTTGTTGATGGTAGTTTTGTAAATATGAAATAATTTGTGGAGGTAGAACCAGTTCATTGCCTTTAGCTTTAGTTGAAAATGTCAGGCTTCCTGCGACTGCTGGCTGATTAAAATGTTATTAAGCTTGGTAAAATGGCGTCCACAGATGAACAGGTTTGATGGCTATTAAGATTATGTGAGGAGAATAAACTCTTTTCAACCTGTTATCTAAAAGCAATAGTATGTAATATTGTAACTTCTAGGACGTAGAAAATTATCTGCATGATGCCACATAATCAGTTAAAACAATGCCATGGGATATTATTGTAATAAATCTCTGAATTAATTTAATTGTATTGTTGAATTAAACATTTACTGTAATAGTGTAGATTTCTTGTAAGAACATAAAAGTCCATTGAAACATATCGGAGTCAGTTGTTTGCTCCCTTGCTTTAAGGACACAAATTTCAGCTAAATATTACATGCTGGAGTTTTAAATAAACAGGTTAAAGTAACAATTTGGTGGTTGGAAAATACACAAATGGTATTAATAGTGTGTTAAAGCTCGAGTACCTTTTTTTTTGTTTTTCGCTGCAGCAAGATTTGTGAATAAATCAGACGACAACATCCTTCATTATATTATATTTATACATAAAGTGAGATTTTTGTTATAATGATTACGCTTTAAATAAACTAGTTCTATACGTATAATATTCAACCAATCAAATCAGATAAGTCCAAGTTCCCTGTAGGATATCACGGAAAGAGAAACTGAAAACGCATATTTTCTCTGCTGGTTTTTACTCCGTGGTTGTTTACAGCTTTGCCTCCGGACCTGCTTGTTTCCTGTCTGACTAAACGGGCTCCCCATCTAATTTTGCTTCTAGGCTTCAAGACACCTGGGAAAGCCAAGTTTTAGTATTGATTCATTCACTTGTAGGATGCCAGCTCAGTTTTTTGCCCTCAGAAGGGGAAGTGCAAGGGTCATGTTTATTAATTCCATACGGGACAATGGGGTGGTTTATTGTAACTTATCTGTTATACTAGACATAAACCGTGGGAGTGTTACTTTCACTGATAAGGAAAGCAAAATCAGAATTAGATATGCCTTCACTATTTCAATATTAACTCATGGACTGCCAGCCGTTTTTGATGATCTCATCGACTTTCAAGACCCACAGAATATTGTGTGTTTTGACAATGTGAAATATGAAACCAGATTCTGAAAGATTGGACTGTCTACTTTCAGCAAAAAAAAATGAGTTTGTTTCTAGCTAGTTTTGTTTTCTGTAATCTTCAGTCGAAAAGAACAAAGTTGGACAGAAATCACCGTCAGATAAATACGTCAATGGCAGTTAATGAGTTAAAGATAAACAGATGAATTAAAACTAGAGCTGTAAAAATATTTAGATTAATTGTAACTAATAGAGTTCTACAATTATCCAACTATTTCAGTAATCGATTAATGGTTAACTTAAACATACTTATAAAACATGAATGTGCTGTGAGATGCAAGATTTTGATCTGAAAGGACATAAAATGAATCAGAAATGGTGTAAAACTGATCAAACATTCTGTACAGGAAAATACATAGAATTAAGATGTCTTCCGGAGGCTTCACTTGAGATTTATATGGGTCAAACTCATCACAAATAACAGATTAATCAAAGTAAAAAACTCTTTGTTGCTACCACTCATCAAAAAATGCATGTTGGAATAATTGATATGGTTGAATCTGTCAGTATTGTACTACACTGGAAATCGTGCATGTCTATAATATACTTAATCATAGGTTAATATTTGCTGATGCAAGTTCCTCCCAAACTGGAATCAGCCAAAGAGAAATGCGTAAAACTAATAAATGAGAGCTTATCATGCAGCATTGTGTGTGTAGTGTGATGGCACAATTCAATAAACCCAAAGCCCTCAAGTTTGAGATAAGGGTAAATGTTATCATGATCGGATAATCTCTATTCTTCCCAGCTTCCAAAACGGTTTAGAAAGGACTCGTGAGACCACTGTTTTCTTTAGGTTTATCAAGCCGATCTTGTTTTCAACATCTCTGCTTTTAGCTGCTGTCTAAACTCCTCCATTCACAAACCACATTTGTTTTGTTGTGGCCTAAAACAATGGCTTTAAAGTTGCAGCCCGACTTTAAAAGCTTAAGGTGGCGATGACTTCTCCTAAATTAATTTTCCCAGACGGCCAATAACTTCCTCTTAGGGGATGCGAGAGAAATAGTAGCTGGAAGTGACTTTAAATGTTTTTGTTGTGTTTGCCTTCCTGCGCAGGGCGACGGAGGAGGAGCAGCAGGCCCAGTCAAAGAAAGCTCTCAAAAAACAGCAGAAGGAAGCGGAGAAAGCTGCGAAGAAGGCTGAGAAACAGGCCAAGCTGGTCAGTATGTTATGGGTTGTTGTCTCCCATCCGGTGCCCCTCATACAGCTGCTCTGTTGGCGTGCGCTCCAGACTGCTCACTGCACGTTCGTACGCCTTAGTCAGACAGCGGGAGGGCCACTGGAAGCCATTGTCCAAGTATTCCTGTCATTTTGCTCTTGTTTATGTTAGCCAAAACAAAGTGCTATTTTGCTCCCACTTAGCAACATTGATAGAGCAACGGTTCGCTTTTCCAATGAGTATTTGTACTTGAACAATAGCGGTGATGTTGTCGTGCCTTGGAGGTATTTGGAATGACGTCTTCTGCAGCCCGTGCCCTTTTGTTGGCTTTGAACAAAATGTGTCATCCAGGTCAACTTATACCTGTCATCCTACATCCAACACTAATCCCCAGCTGTACAAATGATCTGCTATGACTCAAGCCGTTTTTTTAGGCAGATGAATGAAAAGAGTGATTTATTGTTTCTGCAGATTCCTACTGTAAACGTAATATTAAACAAAAATAGTCACACAAAAAACCTTTGTGCTCAATCACATTTGAAAAAAAACAAGCCGTAACATGTTTAATTCATAGAACGTTTGAATGTGTAAATTGCAATACAGGTGGCTTAGTACAGCACTCCACTTTTTATACAAAGGAGTTGTTTTGATGATGTATATGAGGTTATAAAGCAGAGAGCTGCAGTATAAGACACTTGAATGGTTGTCACAGGAAGGCTGACGGAAGAATAGATTGAAATGGTCTTTTTGTTTTTCACAGAGCTGCATTTCAAAGGCAAATGGTACAAGTGCATTCTCATGTAGTAATACTAGACTTTATATTTTTCTGTAAAGTCTTAATGGCCAAGATGAATGTTTATGAAGCGTACGGCACATTATTTTGACTCTCCGCAGTGATAAGACCCCCGCTCCCACTTCATCATAAAGCACATCATCCATCATATGACAGATTATCATATCAAGGATGGGCAATTCCCAATTGACTCGGTTCCTGCCAACCGCCTCCACGCACCCGAAGTCTCTGCATTGAAAATGGAATTGTTACTTTGCCAACAGTCAATCATTTGATTGGAAGGATATTCGAAGATATAAACTTGCATATCTGCTCCATAATCATGTGCGGCCTTTCCTTAGAATGTATAGGTATATAGGAGGAATTTCTACTTCGGGTGGATCCTCCTTATTGTCAATCATTCTGGTCACACGTGCTCGTCAAATACAGTGCCTTGCGAAAGTATTCGGCCCCCTTCAACCTTTCAACATTTCGCCACATTTCAGGCTTCAAACATAAAGATATACAATTTTATTTTTTTGTCATGAATGAACAACAAGTGGGACACAATTGTGAAGTGGAACAAAATGTATTGGATAATTTAAACTTTTTTAACAAATAAAAAACTAAAAAGTGGGGCGTGCAACATTATTCGGCCCCTTTACTTTCAGTGCAGCAAACTCAGTCCAGAAGTTAAGTGAGGATCTTTGAATGATCCAATGTTGTCCTAAATGACTGATGATGATAAATAGAATGCACCTGTGTGTAATCAAGTCTCTGTATAAATGCACCTGCTCTTTGATAGTCTCAGGGTTCTGTTTAAAGCACAGAGAGAACCATGAAGACAAAGGAACACACCAGGCAGGTCCGAGATACTGTTGTGGAGAAGTTTAAAGCCGGATTTGGATACAAAAAGATTTCCCAAGCTTTAAACATCTCAAGGAGCACTGTGCAAGCAATTATATTGAAATGGAAGGAGTATCAGACCACTGCAAATCTACCAAGACCCGGCCGTCCCTCCAAACTTTCATCTCAAACAAGGAGAAGACTGATCAGAGATGCAACCAAGAGGCTCATGATCGCTCTGGATGAACTGCAGATAACTACAGCTGAGGTGGGGATGGTGTGTTCAGGGTGATGAGCTGTGTTGCTTTTACGCCAAACATATCGTTTTGCATTGTGGCCAAAAAGTTAGATTTTGGTTTCATCTGACCAGAGCACCTTCTTCCACATGTTTGGTGTGTCTCCCAGGTGGCTAGTGGCAAACTTTAAACATTCTTCTTGCCACTCTTCCATAAAGGCCAGATTTGTGCAGTGCACGACTGATTGTTGTCCTATGGACAGACTCTCCCACCTCAGCTGTAGTTATCTGCAGTTCATCCAGAGTGATCATGGGCCTCTTGGTTGCATCTCTGATCAGTCTTCTCCTTGTTTGAGATGAAAGTTTGGAGGGACGGCCGGGTCTTGGTAGATTTGCAGTGGTCTGATACTCCTTCGATTTCAATATAATTGCTTGCACAGTGCTCCTTGAGATGTTTAAAGCTTGGGAAATCTTTTTGTATCCAAATCTGGCTTTAAACTCAGTATCTCGGACCTGCCTGGTGTGTTCCTTTGTCTTCATGGTTCTCTCTGCGCTTTAAACAGAACCCTGAGACTATCAAAGAGCAGGTGCATTTATACGGAGACTTGATTACACACAGGTGCATTCTATTTATCATCATCAGTCATTTAGGACAACATTGGATCATTCAAAGATCCTCACTGAACTTCTGGAGTGAGTTTGCTGCACTGAAAGTAAAGGGGCCGAATAATATTGCACGCCCCACTTTTCAGTTTTTTTATTTGTTAAAAAAGTTTAAATTATCCAATGAATTTCGTTCCACTTCACGATTGTGTCCCACTTGTTGTTGATTCATGACAAAAAACAAAAATTTTATATCTTGATGTTTGAAGCCTGAAATGTGGCGAAATGTTGAAAGGTTCAAGGGGGCCAAATACTTTCGCAAGGCAGTGTAAGAACTGGAGAATTTGGGAAAATCGTCCTATATACCTTTAAGATCTGTTGATTCCCTAAATTTAAGGCCCCTTTTGTCTTAAACGTTTAGTTCAAAAAGCTGTGTCTCATCTTGACAATGAAAACTTTTTTCCGTAGCTATTAAGTCCTTATGTGCAATAAATTCACAATTTGCTCACCTACACAGAAAAACAAGAGGTTCATGGGTTTAATCAACAGTAGTTTTATTGATACAAAAAAAGAAGATATTTCATATAAAATCTTTACATCGAGCTCAAACATTTCACATGTTTGAGCTCGATGTTGGTCTCCATATGTCCTTTAGCCCCGCCCCTTAGCGTCAGGAAAATATTCTCACATCAATGGCTCCGCTCCTCCTTTGAGAAAAAATGGCCTGTGAGTAGGTGAGTCCTCCACATATCATGATTCAGAAAAGAAAATGGCCAAACAATGCATGTAAAATGGGGGGAGTGGAGAGAAATGGCGGCATGCCATTGATTCCATTGATCTATTTACATGAATAAATCAAACATGCATGAACGTGCAAAAACAGCTTTGAGTGTTGTGCATTTCAAGTGGAAAAAAAACTATGACATGGCCAAAAGTAGAGAAATTAGATTCTTATTTAAATAGGACGGTCAAAGTTGTTTTCTTTTCTTGTATAAAGACTGCTTTTTGTTTCAGGCTGCCGATCAACCAACCTCAGAGGAAGATGTAAGTGTTCCCAAAACTATCAAATCTGATTTCTCACTGTTTTCACACCTCTGAAACTGTCTGTCTGCAAATGCCTGCATGATCTTCCAGTTTCACAACTTGCACAAGTTCAGATAACTGTCCATGTGTCTGTTCTTATCTCAACATGTAGACATAATGGCGCTTGGAAGAAATAATTATAATACTTTCATTTGATGTGTAAGTAAGACATGATTTTCTTTAGGACTTTGCCAAGGACCGCTATGGTGTGCCTGCAATGGTCCAGTCTCAACAAAAACTGGGTGAGTATTTCAAGTGTTTTCTTTTATCATCAGCCAATACAAACAAAATACCAAGCAGAGTTTATGGAGGGCATTGTGTCTACATTACTGGCCTATTGTGATTGAGTCGACAGACGTCATTGCTGTAGACTATTTGATCTAATGTTTTTGTAGAAAGTCACAACTCAGAAATCATTCCCCTACAGGCCTATATAAAAAGGCCTTTTAAACAGGTCTGTGAGAGTATAGGCTTCACATTGATATCGAATGCAGCATTTATTGATAAGAATTCAATTTACAACCATAGAACTTTACTTGGAAACATATCAATTGCAGATAATGTATACGCTATATTAAAGCTGAAGCCCCTAATGTAACGAAAAACAACTTATGTAATCAAATCCATGTAACTTGCTTCCTGCTCCATTTGGTTCCATCACTTGTTTATTTTTGTAAAAGATCGAATGTTTTCGGAGAAGATAAAACAGCATGTTGTGGTATCATTTGTTTTAGAAAAAATGACTTAAACGTGACTCTCTGTTCTGTTTGAAAAAAAGAAGAAAAGTACATTCCCGGACTTATTAATTCGTAGGAAGCAAGTCAAAAGATCCATTGACACCGCTGTCTATTATTCTGCCTTCAGATATGGCATGGCAATGAGTTACATAATGTCACCTGAGCTGCCACAAGAAAAATGTAATTTACACAAAGAAATCAAACGCAGACAAGGAGAACATGCATGAATACAAACTGCTCCCTGCTTTTGATCTGCTCTGATTACCTCTGTACCGTTGCCAAAAATGCACAGCGATAGCACACTTCTCCTCCATCTCTACAATTGTTTTCGTGCCAACACCTTGAGTCCTATTTTTTTCTCCACATTTTTGACTGATAACTATGAGTAATAGTCCCTGATAACTGACTTGTGGAAGACGTCCATATGTCTGGCTTCTCTTTCAGCTCCATTAGCTGCAAACAAAGTGTCCTCTGCATTTTTACCTGCATGTTTTTTTCAGTTATAGACGAGGAAAAGCTCGAAGGGTGTCTGTCGGCTGGGGGCTTTTATGTGGGCTGACGGACAGTAGACTCAGCTCTGTTACCTTAATGTAGCCGCCGTGTCTGCCTCTCCCTCCAGAGTTCATAACAAGGGGGGTTGAAGCATGCCTCTGACTGACACAGGTGAAACGAGAGTCAATTTGTCATGAAATCCAAAGAGAATGGGAGTTGGACAGGTTTTCAGCAAGCCTCCTAGTGTGTCTTATTTATTATGGGGCTGCTGTAATCTGAGTATTTTATTGTGCGCTTGTCTACACGTAAAAACTTGCTTCTTCACATTTCTTTTGCCTGTGGGCAGTTGAAATGAAACGGGCTTGTGTATTATTTGCACTGAAGCAGAAAATTGAAGATTTCTGAAGAAGATAAATTGTTTGGAAACCTTCGAAAAACTTGTCATCACTATAAAGTGAACACTTATGTGTACACTTAATAGTGAGAGAATGAAAAGTGGCCGATCCTGTCTGAGCTGCAGGTGCAACTCCCTCAGCCGAGACACGTGTGTTTATAGCCACTTTGAGCTGCTTTGTTTTTTTGTTTTTTTTTGTGAGACATTTTCATGACGTTTTTTAAATTCTTAGTTTTTATTCCTCTTTAGACCCAAGTAATGACTGTAGCACAAGCTGTTTTTTTGCGACTGTTCTTGCAATAGGTTTTCACCATTTTTAATCCAAATGTATTTATTGTCCAAACTTTAAAACCGGTCCATTGAATCTGTTTCTAATTAAAATGTTTAAATGATCATCTGATTATTGGGTCGTGTTTTGAGTGAATTATTCATTTAAAACTATTCATTCAATTACTCATTCCTTTTTGAGTCTCTGGTGTTTTTCTACTTATATATCTTAATGGGATTGTTGAAACAAACTAACAGACAGTGCTTTGTGTGCCCATGAGACAGACAGAACCTTGGTGAAGGTGGAGGATTTGACTGTGGCAAAGGCTGATCAGCTCCTGTGGATCCGGGCTCGAGTTCACACAAGCCGAGCCAAAGGTGAGTGCACACCCTCCCACGCCAACAGCCACATCTTTATCGTCCTTCCATCTTTGTTTACAAATAATAAATACAAACAATATCCAGCTTCCGAACTTGTACTAGGTTCACCTCAGTGGGTAAAGGTCAAGCCCTTGGGCCGATCCCTCACAGCACACACCCTGAAAACAATTATTTAAGTATTTTTTTTTTCTGTTCCTTGAGATTTCCCATGACATCAAACCCCTGCAAACATCAAACAGGCTCAGAACGGCCCCAGGGATCATTAACAAAAACAAGCCACATGGTTGTAGTGTAAAGATGCTTGGATCAATCAACAATACACAAAGTGGCATCACTAGAAGGGCCAGTTTTGTCATGTATCACAAGTTATGTATTGTCCAGAAAATGATGTGTCCATAGTCTTCCCATTCAGCAACAAAAGTCTATTTGTTGATTTATTTTTTATTTTTTATTTTATTTAATGTTTCTATTACATCTATTTCAATAGCACGGTGATATTCTAAAGATTGGACAATGAGCAGTTTTAACGTAAAACTATATAATCGTACAAATTGTACAAACTTGTGGTAATGTTACCACAAGGTTTTATAATACTTGAGTTGCTGAATCAAAATCACATCAGAAGCCACGTCCACAGCAGGAGTTCCTGGTAAAAGGAGCGAGGTGGAACTTTTACAGGAACCTTTCTCTCCCTGGGTCCTCTGTGTCCGTGTCTCCACTGCAGTAGGACCACTTGGCAACGTCATGAGTTTCGGTTGCTGCATAAGCGAAACTCATTACGCCAAACCCTTATTATAAATCCATGCACCAAACCCATTAGTTTATTTTACGGTCGTAACCGCTCTGGTTGTTGTGGTCTTTGAGTTTTTTTATAGTCCAGATTCAGTTTTTTAAAACTTTTCACGGCTTCTTTTGGAGTGTGATAAATTCCCAGTGCTTCGAGGTGAAGCGATGCCTCAAACCCAAACCGCCTCAAACCCAAACCCCGTCTGAATCAACGCTGTGCTGCTGTTTACTGTTTCCAGTGGTGTCTGCTAGGCTAATGCTGCTAGGCTAATGCCAGTTGTTTTGCTGCTTTCTGCTGGCGTCTGAGCCTGTGCTAGCTTTAGCCTGTCATCTCCGGGTTAACCTCAAGTCCCACCAGGGCCCAACGGAGTACCTAGCATGGAGGAGGGACTCCGTTGGGCCCCATAAAAGTTCCTGTAAATGGCCCTGTGGGGAAAGTTCCTGCAGTGGAGACATGCACAGACGGGGCTGACCCTTGAAAATTACCCCAAAGTTCCTGCGGTGGAAATGCGGCTAGAGAAGCTCACATTTTGTCAGTTTTTATTTTTAAATTTCTATTTTTATTTTTTTAAATTAGTATCAAGTTTCTAAATTAGTTACGTTTTAGATTCTTATCAGATACTTTTGGCAACCGTAATCCATACATTTTCTTTGTAATAGTGGTACCTTAGCTCCTGTATTCCATTGTGGTGTATGTTGACGTACAAGGTGGCTTAAGTTCACTCACTCTCTCACTCTTGATATTGCTCTATTGTGTTGGTCAACATGTTCATGAACCTCTCCTTGGCACCGTGTTAACCTTGTATCGCTTATGTTTTCCCCTTCTGACTGTATCATGACAAAGCCTTTATGATAACTGCAATACATCTCACTCTCCGTCAAAAATGCACCTATAGACACATGTGCGACACCTTGTTGCTCTATGTATATAAAGTGTGAAGACCTAAGGGTGCCACTGATATCATTGTAAGAAAAGCATTTCCCTGCCAACTACGAGATCAGATAACCTCTATTTATCGAGTTTCTGTTACTGGCAGCGATGTGCCTGCTCCACTTCCACACAATAGACTTGCTCTTCTCATTATTACTCCTCTGTGCGAAAAAAAACCCGAGCCCTTTTTACTGAGGCTGTTATGAATAAACAGATATCAACAGTGAACTTGTTTCTGAGGAATATCTCACACTTCTATGGTCTATGGCTCGAGTTGGCATTGGTCTGTCAAGTATTGAATTATATAGTTATCCATCCATCCATTTTCTTCCGCTTTATCCGTTGCCGGGTCGCGGGGGCAGCAGTCTAAGCAGAGACGCCCAGACTTCCCTATCCACACACACCTCCTCCAGCTCGTCCGGGGGGACCCCAAGGCGTCCCCACTCCAGCTGAGAGACATAGTCTCTCCAGCGTGTCCTGGGTCTTCCCCGGGGCCTCCTCCCGGTGGGACGTGCCCGGAACACCTCCCCAGGGAGGCGTCCAGGAGGCATCCTGAACAGATGCCCGAGCCACCTCAACTGGTTCCTCTCGACGTGGAGAAGCAGCGGCTCTACTCCGAGCTCCTCCCGTGTGACTGAGCTCCTCACCCTATCTCTAAGGGAGCGCCCAGCCACTCTGCGGAGGAAGCTCATTTCGACCGCTTGTATCCGCGATCTCGTTCTTTCGGTCATTACCCAAAGCTCATGACCATAGGTGAGGGAGGGAACGAAGATTGACCGGTAAATCGAGAGCTTCGCCTTTCGGCTCAGCTCCCTCTTTACCACAACGGTCCGATACAGAGACCGCATCACTGCGCACGCTGCACCGATCCGCCTGTCAATCTCACGCTCCATTCTTCCCTCACTCGTGAACAAGACCCCGAGATACTTGAACTCCTCCACTTGAGGAAGGACCTCTCCACCCACCTGGAGAGGGCAAGGCACCTTTTTCCGGTCGAGCACCATGGCCTCGGATTTGGAGGTGCTGATTCTCATCCCAGCCGCTTCGCACTCGGCTGCAAACCGTCCCAGTGAATGCTGCAGGTCCTGGTTTGTTGGAGCCAACAGGACGACATCATCCGCAAAAAGTAGAGATGAAATCCTGTGGTTCCCGAACCGGATCCCCTCCGGCCCCTGGCTGCGCCTAGAAATTCTGTCCATAAATACAGTGAACAGAACCGGTGACAAAGGGCAGCCTTGGCGGAGGCCAACATGCACCGGGAACAGGTCTGACTTACTGCCGGCAATGCGAACACAGCTCTGGCTCCGGTCATACAGGGACCGGACGGCCCTCAGCAGAGGACCCCGGACCCCGTACTCCCGGAGGACCCCCCAAAGGACACCCCGGGGAACACGGTCGAACGCCTTCTCCAAATCCACAAAGCACATGTGGACAGGTTGGGCAAACTCCCATGAACCCTCGAGTATCCGATGGAGAGTATAGAGCTGGTCCAGTGTTCCGCGACCGGGACGAAAACCACACTGCTCCTCCTGAATCCGAGATTCGACCATCGGGCGTAGCCTCCTCTCCAGTACCTTGGAGTAGACCTTACCGGGGAGGCTGAGGAGTGTGATCCCACAATAATTGGAACACACCCTCCGGTCCCCCTTCTTGTAGAGAGGGACCACCACCCCGGTCTGCCACTCCATTGGCACCGCCCCCGATCGCCACGCGATGTTGCAGAGACGTGTCAGCCAAGACAGTCCTACAACATCCAGAGACTTCAGATAGTCAGGACGGATCTCATCCACTCCCGGCGCCTTGCCACCATGGAGGCTGCCAACCACCTTGGTGACCTCGGCCAGGGAGATGGAAGTGTCCGCCCCAACATCCTCAGCCTCTGCCTCCTGAACGGAGGACGTGACGGGGGGATTGAGGAGAACCTCGAAGTATTCCTTCCACCGCCCGACAATATCCTCAGTCGAGGTCAGCAGCCCTCCACCCGCACCATACACGGTGTTGGCAAAGAACTGCTTCCCCCTCCTGAGGCGCCGGACGGTTTGCCAGAACCTCTTCGAGGCCGACCGATAGTCATGCTCCATGGACTCTCCGAACTCCTCCCAGTCCCGGGGTTTTGCCTCTGCAACAGCCCGGGCCGCGGCACGTTTGGCCTGCCGGTACTGGACAGCTGCCTCAGGAGTCCCACGAACCATCATTGCTCGATAGGACTCCTTCTTCAGCCTGACGGCGTCCTTTACTGCCGGTGTCCACCACCGGGTTCGGGGATTGCCGCCGGGACCAGCACCAGAGACCTTGCGACCACAGCTACGAGCCGCCGCATTGGCGATAGAGGAAGAGAACATGGTCCACTCGGACTCGATGTCCCCCTCCTCCGCCGGGACCTGGGAGAAGCTCTCCCGGAGGTGTGAGTTGAAAGTCCGTCTGACAGGGGGCTCCGCGAGACGTTCCCAGCAAACCCTCACTATACGCTTGGGTCTGCCAGGTCTGACCGGCTTCTTCCCCTGCCAGCGGATCCAACTCACAACCAGGTGGTGATCGGTTGACAGCTCCGCCCCTCTCTTTACCCGAGTGTCCGAGACACGCGGTCGAAGGTCAGATGATACGACAACAAAGTCGATCATCGACCTCCGGCCTAGGGTGTCCTGGTGCCACGTGCACTGGTGGACACCCTTGTGCTCGAACATGGTGTTCGTGATGGACAGGCCGTGACTGGCACAGAAGTCCAACAACTGAACACCACTCGGGTTCAGATCAGGGGGGCCGCTCTTCCCGATCACCCCTCTCCAAGTGTCACTGGCATTTCCCACATGGGCGTTGAAGTCCCCCAGGAGAATAACGGAGTCCCCGGGCGGTGCACTGTCCAGTACCCCTCCCAAGGACTCCAAGAAGGCCGGGTACTCTGCACTACCGTTAGGCCCGTAGGCCGTCACAACAGTGAGAGACTTGTCCCCCACCCGGAGGCGGAGGGACGCGACCCTCTCATTCACCGGGGAGAACTCCAACACGTGGCGGCTGAGATGGGGGGCAATGAGTATGGCCACCCCAGCTCGCCTCCTCTCCCCGCGGGAAACACCAGAAAAGTGGAGCGTCCAACCCCTCTCAAGGAGTTGGGTTCCAGAGTCCAAGCTGTGTGTGGAGGTGAGGCCGACTATCTCTAGTCGGTATCGCTCAACCTCCCCCACAAGCTCGGGCTCCTTCCCCCCCAGTGAGGTGACGTTCCACGTCCCAACAGCCAGATGTTGGGTGTGTGGACTGGGTCGTCGAGGTCTCCGCCTTTCGACCGCTGCCCAGTCCTCGCTGCACCACGCCACCACGGACCCCTCTGCAGGTGGTGGGCCCACAGGAGGGACTGCCCACGTCATCCCTTCGGGCTGAGCCCGGCCGGGCCCCGTGGGCTAAGGCCCGGCCACCAGGCGCTCGCTTGCGAGCCCCGACCCCAGGCCTGGCTCCAGGGTGGGGCCCCGGCTGCGCCATGCCGGGCGACGTCACGGTTTTTGTTGTCGTGCTGTCCATGGTTGGCTTCGGACTGCGCTTCGTCTGACTCGTCACTTGAGACCTGTCTGCCATAGGAGGCCCTACCAGGCATGAAGCCCCAGACAGCATAGCTCCCAGGATCATCCGAGTGCTCAAACTCCCCCACCACGTTAAGGTGGCAGTCCAAGGGGGAGTTATATAGTTATGTTGGAAATAATGCACTTATGTTAGGGCCGGGCCAAAAGGCGAAAGATTGCAAACTCAAATGCCATTCTCAATTATTGGCTTTCATATTACTATTGACAGACATCCATCATCTGTCAGTAACATTACAAGGAGAGTTGAAGGTTTGTTGAGCGCTTTTTGGAGAAACCACTGATCCTGGGTCAGACCACATGAGCCTGTGCCTCTCTACAATCACCAACCAATCACCGATGTTTGGTTTTAATATGTTCATAATTTTTTTTATGAAGGGGGGAGGGAGCTTGCCTAATTTTTTTTTTCCCAATTGTTGGCGGCAATCATACAAAATTGAGGTGGAGCAATTATTCAGTCTCATTTCCCCCCAGATTGGCGACCAAAAAAAGTGGAAAAACACTTATACATTTATAAAAACAACCCACGTTATGTCTTAAACTAATGCATTGATATATAAATAAGTTAACCAGGTAAATTGTGTTGTGCTATCATCTCCCACTCCTTTTATTCCCTGTGTGTGTGTGTAAGGAAGTGTGTGGGCACAAAAACATCCTGGTGGAGTTTGTTGTGAAGTTCATTTGTTGGTGGGATTTTGACGTTTCTATCGTCCCCAGAACTGTCCACCCCCCTCTTTCTCACACACATCAAAGTCCCTGGGTGGTCCCACTGTCTCTGGCCTAAATTTGTGTTGGCTAACTGGTTTACACAGATCACAGGTGTGTGTTTGTTTGTGAGGTGGCTGTTGGCTGTTTCTGAATTCATTGTTCTTCAAAGTGGAGCTCTATTAACAACTGACCAACACTGTTCAAGAGAAGAAAGAGCTTCGCTTTTTATTTGATTTAGACCAGCCACCACACCATATAGCCCATATACTGTCAGAGACAAAATGTAAACACAACTAAGGTGAGTAAAATGGAAATAAAATGTTTTCGGGAAAAAGTATGTCTAACCTTTTCTCTCATAATTATGTTTTTTAGCTCCAGAAATACTGTTTTACCAAACTTTGGATCAAACTGTCTATATTATACATGTGAGAAAGAACTTTGTAAAAGACTAAATTATGCTTTGGGCTGAGAGCTGATTCTTTGAATGTAATGAGCCGCTCTAAAAACAATTAAGTATAGCCCTTTACAAACTCCTGGCTGCAGCTGTTGCATCTTACAGACTTTCCTGTACAAACAGGCCTCGAGTTCATGAGAAACACTGCGCATTATTTGCGCGCAAACGGATCAGTAGAAAGTGCAGGTTCCTAAAGAGTCGTGAGTGAGGAGTTTCATGAGGGGGGGGGTTTGCAAGGGGCCATACGGTTTTTCTACTAGACCTTTGCATCCCACAACCTTTTACTTTGGCCAGGGGTCCAGGTCTGAGTTAAAAGTGAACACATTTAGAGAAAAGGCAAATCACAAATCCATGGGAAAATGCATCTTTTGGAAGCTCGCGGCTTGTTGTATACGAATTCCTCACCACATAATGAGAACTCTAAACAAACCCATCAAAGATAATTTCAGTGTCCAGTCTTGTAAAGCTGAGGTCTCAATGGCCTGCTGCTAACATGAGTGGCTTTTATGTTTACAGGGAAGCAATGCTTCTTGGTCCTGCGTCAACAACAGTTCAACGTGCAGGCTTTGGTCGCAGTGGGAGACCGTGCCAGCAAGCAGATGGTCAAGTTTGCCGCAAAGTGAGTAAAGCGCTTTGCACTTCCTGTCAAAGAGGGCACAACAATGGTGGGAAAATCCTTGGCTTTAAAACCATCAGTAGCTCCTATTTTCACACATCAGTAGCCAGGCGGAGGACGGAGGCATCAATCATTTTTCACATTACAACAAAAGCGGGCTGTTTCAGGGCGGGGTAGCACACTCAGGCACGTTAATGCAGGGGTTCCTGTAGAGATGGCAGATATGGCTGCTCCAAGAAGACAAGGAAGAAATACTCAAGAGCCAAGAATCATCAGTCATCTTAGCAGCCAAATCCTAGTCCATTACTGAGAGTCTGTGAATGAACACCAAATAAGGTTGATAGATCGGGTAGAAATCCAGTTACGATTGGATTACGGTTGCTGTGAAAAATGTTTGAGTCAAGGGAAACTTTGCAAACTGAAATGTCTGAAGTTTAAAGTTAGAGGTCCTGCTTTTTTGGTATTTTGCAAAATATGGTATTTTAAAAGCATCCTCTCACATCCATTTGGTACATGGCTAGTTGTCTCATGAATGATTCTTTTGACCCCTCACTCAGCTTCAGATCTGAATTTTCTCTCACCGAAATAAGGTTGCTTTCTAATTAGAGGAAAGAAAGAAATGAGATGAAGTTTTGCTGTTATACCTTTACAAAATTTATTTTGTGGGAATAAATAAATTATATATTTAATACTTCATTACATTCACTTTTCTAAAGTTTCAGCAGTGTTCAAAGATTATTATTAATTAGATTTCTTTTTGAATATTATAACAAACTGAAGAGGACAGCATATTTAGTAATAGGAGTGAGTTTAAAATGGCAGACTTATTTTAAAGACCTATAAATTAGAACACCCACGCATGTTCTTTATTATTATGGATACAATCTGCACATTTGTCTTTCTTTTGGTTAAATACACAGTTATGAATTATATTTAGATGTTTTTTAGCAACTAATTATTGTGAAGTCAAAGTTTCCACATGAATCTCTGGCAAACGCCCACAAACTGAGGAACGGCGGAGGAGAAAGTGGAGGAATGAGGACCTAAGTTTGAGAACAAGGCGCAGTGTCGATGAAGTGCCTCCAGAGGTGTAATGTGTCATTCTCTCCAAGAATTTAAATCATGCCTGACAAAAGCCTTAGTAACTCGCTGGGAGAACGGAGCTGTGTCAGTCAGTATTTGAAAGGTGTCAGACTCCATCATAGCACTACTCCACAGCATCATCCGCTGCTCTGAAGTGACTGGACTCATGGGGACAGCACTCTAGGCATTATAGTTAATTAAATGTAGCTGATCCCAGTTTAACTTTAATGACCATCTTATTCCACTTGCCCAACTAATGGAAGATGTAAGACATAAAACGCTGTTTTCCACTGTATGTTGTACGATTGGGTCCTTCATGATACTTACCTCAGACCATGGGAGGTTATGATGTTCAAAATGTCCAGGAAACCTTTGTGTTGGCAAAGTGAAAAAGGATAATCATTTTTAGTCCGATCCTGGAGATGCAGGACATTTTTTCGCTGCTTGTTCGCACCATAACTGAGGCAGTTCTGGGAGGATTTAGATGAAATGTACAGATAAAGTTTTTATGGTTATTGAATTATGTCTGAATCAAGGATTTTTACGCAACATCTTGATGGTTCAGAAGTGTCCGCTTTTACTCAAAATAATTGGTGATACTATATTTAGAACTGTGCATGCTTGTTTTTCAATATTGACATTTAAAATGTTCAAGATTCATGAATGATGAGCAATAGTGAAAGTCATTTTGATATTTTTCATGCATCATAAATATAATAATAATAAAAAATAATCCTAAGATAAAAGACACTGCTACAAAATTCTAAACTGCAAAAACATTGAGCTCGTAAGTGAATGACTTTGTGCGACGTCCGGATTGACGTCAGGAGAAACCTTTGATCATCTGAAATATGAAATCAAGCAGGAACACAGATTATATTTGGTCTACATTTGAATTGATTTTTTTTTCAGAATCTTATATTCACTTTTGTAGAGCGATGATGCATTATTCAAAGGATTCACAAAGACAAGAAAAGAAGTAAACGTCTTCATACCAAACACAAGTGCCTATTGGATCGAAATAATGATGTGTTTATATCCACACCTGTCACAATAACATGTAAACAACTCTCAGCCACTAAATGTTTAATGAAGACTAGACTCTGCATAAATTAGCATATTAAACGCCTTATAATTATGCACTTCTCTTGCACCCGAGGAGTTTCTTTGCAAGTTTTCACAGCATCTTTCATAACAAACCAAACATAAACATGCAGCGTTTTTTTCCCCCTCCTTTTCTAATGAGGCTAAGGTCGGCGTAACTTTGACCTGTGTTTTGACCTATCAGCACGAGCGCGATGACCCCACTCTGTTGCAAGTGTCCAGTCCCCTCGGCAGCATTACCATCCTCTCCACTCGCATTCAAATTCAGAACCCTTTTCCCACTTCACTTTGTAGCTTTAAAATAATGCAGCAAAAAGCAGCCCCCAGAATGTAAAATGTGTGAAAGTATACGGCTCCTACTACCGAGAGCTGCACTAGAACACTACACGCATGTCAATATTTCTGCTCTTATGTAAGTTCACTTGTTAGATATGCGCTTGCCAGTTCCTCAATTTAGTTTTGCAATCATTTTTGTTAGTCTTTTGTAAGTGTTCAAAGATCCAAATAAATAGTGCTGTGCAAACGAAGATATTGAAGAAATGATTGTATATATAGAACAGAGATGTGAGTGCTGCTTGGAGCGTGAAATGTAGTAGAATGTGACTCCAACGCTCTTCTTTGGAAAGCAGATTAAACATGCCATATTTAATAGGCAGTGAGGCAGAAGATCCAATGCACTCTGACACTAACGATAAGAGTCCTTTATTTTACACACAAATGATTGTCTATTTTAAACAAAGTGCAGTTTTCCAGTATTTATATTTCAGTCACAAAAAATCTTTCAGAAATAAGGAATTCCTTTTTATTATTGTTGCCACTTGGAAGTCAGGAAGGTCACAAACTAGCAATTTGCTTTGGCATACACTGTAATGAAAAATAGTTGAAAAGTTCCTCATGAGGGTAAGGGCATGGACACTTTTGTACCATAGAACCAAGGCAACTGTCATCTTGCTTCATCTGTAAGACTGTTGTTTTTATTTTATGAGCTGGTGCTCTGTGTACTGGGTGCAGCTCTGACTGCCACCCCCCGATCCAGAAATGGAGTAATGGGAAGAAAATGGATGGATGGGCAGTTATTTTTATTTCCATACATTTGTTATGTACTATGAGATATTTATTTACAAAATCAAGTTGACCTTTTTTCATTCAAATTGTATTCTTTTCTTATTTAGTTGTATTTATCTTATTTTCTTATTTAGTAACAATGTGCCTTTACGAAATCAAACGAATTGAATTTAACCTTTCACTTGTGATCCCTGCCAGATTACGATCTCATAAAACTGGATCAATACTGAGATAAAGAAGCCCATACTCTTTTCACAACATAATTAAAGCTACACAGTGTGAAAAGCTGTACGCAGCCGCAAAGTGTCTCTTCTGAACGTTTTGCTCACCATTATCATTTTCTCACGCTCTTTGTGTGGAGCCGTTGACTTTGGCCTGTGGAAGTGTCTCGACTGCTGCCCTCTGCCGCGTTCACACAGTGTGGCGTGCGGGTGATTGACAAGTCGTGTAATACCAGGATTACATGTAAAGCCCCTCATAATCAGGCCCAGGGCAGAGATGATATGGACTCTTCATTCTCTGTTCACCCAAAAATGTCCGAGTCACTCACACTGTTTAATTAAGAGCTCCTCAGATCAGCCCCTATCACTTGAGACCTCTGAAGTGCTGAAGGATTTATGGACACAAATGTGAATCGTGAATCCCAGTGGGACAATTGGGCTCCCTTTGTTGAATTATTTGAAATTGTAACTTTGAAATGAGAAAATTATGTAAATGCTGATATTGAGTAATTACTAATTTCATGGGGTGAAACTGTGTCTTCTGATATATCTGGCCTTCTGCAGTTGTCCTTTTATGGCTGAATGTATTTTGTTAACTAGTATTTATGACAACGGAAAATCTTGTTATTCCATATATTTTTGGGGATATTCTGATTTATTTGTTATGTATTCTCTAAAGATCTTTTACATAATTATTTATTAACCTTGTTACAACGGGTCTTTGCATTGAAATGTTCAAAGTATTATATGGAAAATTGTATTTAATCAATTTCTAATATGGATCATTCATTAATTCTTTTGAGGCCTTGTAAAATAAATTGTCCGTGTCCTAGCTAATTTCATTCAATGGAAACTGTACTATTAAGCCTGATCTATTGTTTTAACATGAATTCAAAGCAGTGTTGTCTCTGTTTTTCTACGGAACAGTCTAGTAGCTCAAGGAAAGTTTATTTAGATTTACATTTCTTAAATAAGGCAATGTTAGAAATGCTAAAATAATTTAACGAGTGAAAACAAAAACTCACAGTACATACATTTGCAGAAGGTTTTCACATGGTTTCAAACATTGTAGAGAAGGAGCTTGTGCCTTGTTCAGTCCAGCAGCAGGAGGCCAGTTCCTGTGCTTCTCCAGAGTCCGGTTCATACAGCACAAGCTCAGCCCTTCCAGTTACTCCTCTCTGATCCTGAGTTCATCAATATATTTGCCTTTCTCGGCTGCGGATGCTTTATAACAGCTTCGTTAATGCGGTTGTATTTATCCTGCTGATCCCATGCTATGATGGTGACACCAGGGCGACAGCTGCTTGGGACTGGAGGGACTGCACTAGCCCAGTGAAGAGCCCCATTGCCGTGTTTTAATGAGGCCTACTGAAGGATTACTGCACGTTTCCCATCTGCCTGTGTAATGTAAACTGTGAGGAACGAGACCCGGGGCATGACAGAAGAACTGGTCAAAATAGTTTGATATAGAAGTAAATCGTGGTATAGTATTTAAACTAACTGCTCATTCAACAGTAAGTCATTGTTTGCAGAATTGGTTTCAGAATGATGAAAAATGAAAACCTTTGCAAAAGCGAGAAACAATTCAAAACAAAATATTACATTTTAGAATGCGGAAAAGGGTCCTCAAAAATACATTCGTGCTTGGAAAGTGCTTGAAAATCAAACAACTATGGAAATGAATGGAAATCAGCCGTGTTTGCAGCGAGTGGTGTATGGTAAGCAGAAACAAAGCACAAACCGTATTGGAACCAGTTCATCCTTGTTCACTAATGCAAGGCCTTCATGACTTCATTGTCTTTTGAATGATTTTGAATGAGCTCGGAGTCAAATGCGTGCGGCCACTGCTCGCCATCTCACAAGCCTCGGCTGTTGTGGGCTGTTTGTTATGTAGAACCTGGCAAAGAGGGAGAAATCTGCTTTGCTCAGGTTTTTTCCTCCCTGTAGCTTTGATTGTGTGCAGAGCTGGTCACATTATGCAACAATCTACTGCTTATACTGCTGAGTAACATTGTTGATTTCAGAGTTGCTCCATTTATGATCACATTTTCTGTGCTGAGAGATGAGCTGATGGCCAAGCTGAATTAGTGTGGTAATTATTTTTCTGTAGATCATTTGGTTTAAATCAGACAATAGTGAAGACAAAGGCGTTTGGTTGGCCAATGCCTTCAGGGTGGATTTATTCATTATGCCTTTTTAGATACAATTAGAACATTTTTGAGTGCTTTTATTAAGTTTTTCAATGGTTCTAGAGGTCTCTGATGGTGCCTGGATCAGAGGTCTCTGATGGACCTGTCAGAGGTCTCTGATGGACCTGTGTCTATTATGGTCTATTGTCTATTAAGGCAAGTTAATCCCTGTCCCAAGACGAATTTCTTCTATGGGAGACAGTAAAGGAGTATCCTATCTTAATTGCAATTTTGTACGTGAATGTTGGGTCATATCGTACGAAGTTTTGTGCATCATAGGTTTGAGGGCATGTTGTTGACTGTAGCCCTAGCAGAAAGATTCATATTTATTAGCTGGTATGCCCAGTCCGTCCGTCCGTCCGTCCGTTTTCTTCCGCTTCATCCGTTGCCGGGTCGCGGGGGCAGCAGTCTAACCAGAGACGCCCAGACTTCCCTATCCACACACACTTCCTCCAGCTCGTCCGGGGGGACCCCAAGGCGTTCCCAGGCCAGCTGAGAGACATAGTCCCTCCAGCGTGTCCTGGGTCTTCCCCGGGGCCTTCTCCCGGTGGGACGTGCCCGGAACACCTCCCCAGGGAGGCGTCCAGGAGGCATCCGGAACAGATGCCCGAGCCACCTCAACTGGTTCCTCTCGACGTGGAGTAGCAGCGGCTCTACTCCGAGCTCCTCCCGTGTGACTGAGCTCTTCACCCTATCTCTAAGGGAGCGCCCAGCCACTCTGCGGAGGAAGCTCATTTCGACCGCTTGTATTCGCGATCTCGTTCTTTCGGTCATTACCCAAAGTACATGACCATAGGTGAGGGAGGGAACGAAGATTGACCGGTAAATTGAGAGCTTTGCCTTTTGCCTCAGCTCCCTCTTTACCACAACGGTCCGATACAGCGACCGCATCACTGCGCACGCTGCACCGATCCGCCTGTCAATCTCACGCTCCATCCTTCCCTCACTCGTGAACAAGACCCCGAGATACTTGAACTCCTCCACCTGAGGCAGGACCTCTCCACCCACCTGAAGAGAGCAAGGCACCTTTTTCCGGTCGAGCACCATGGCCTCGGATTTGGAGCTGCTGATTTGTCATCCCAGCCGCTTCACACTCGGCTGCAAACCGCTCCAGTGCATGCTGCAGGTCCTGGTTTGTTGGAGCCAACAGGACTACATTGTCCGCAAACCGCAGAGATGAAATCCTGTGGTCCCCGAACCGGACCCCCTCCGGCCTAGAAATTCTGTCCATGAATACAGTGAACAGAACCGGTGACAAAGGGCAGCCCTGGCGTAGGCCAACATGCACCGGGAACAGGTCTGACTTACTGCCGGCAATGCAAACACAGCTCTGGCTCCGGTCATACAGGGACCGAACAGCCCTCAGCAGAGGACCCCGGACCCCGTACTCCCTGAGAACCCCCCAAAGAACACCCCGGGGAACACGGTCGAACGCCTTCTCCAAATCCACAAAGCACATGTGGACAGGTTGGGCGAACTCCCATGAGCCCTCGAGTATCCGATGGAGAGTATAGAGCTGGTCCAGTGTTCCGCGGCCGGGACGAAAACCACACTGCTCCTCCTGAATCAGAGATTCGACCATCGGCCGTAGCCTCCTCTCCAGTACCTTGGAGTAAACCTTACCAGGGAGGCTGAGGAGTGTGATCCCACGATAATTGGAACACACCCTCCGGTCCCCCTTCTTATAGAGAGGGACCACCACCCTGGTCTGCCACTCCATCGGCACCGCCCCCAATCGCCACGCGATGTTGCAGAGACGTGTCAGCCAAGACAGTCCCACAACATCCAGAGACTTAAGATAGTCAGGACGGATCTCATCCACTCCCGGCGCCTTGCCACCAAGGAGGCTGCCAACCACCTTGGTGACCTCCGCCAGGGAGATGGAAGTATCCGCCCCAACATCTTCAGCCTCTGCCTCCGGGACGGAGGACGTGACGGGGGTATTGAGGAGAACCTCGAAGTATTCCTTCCACCGCCCGACAATATCCCCAGTCGAGGTCAGCAGCTCTCCGCCCGCACCGTACACGGTGTTGGCAAAGCACTGCTTCCCCCTCCTGAGGCGCCGGACGGTTTGCCAGAATCTCTTCGAGGCCGACCGATAGTCCTGCTCCATGGAGTCTCCAAACTCCTCCCAGACCCGGGTTTTTGCCTCTGCAACAACCCGGGCCGCGGCACGCTTGGCCTGCCGGTACTGGACAGCTGCCTCAGGGTCCCCCGAACCATCATGGCTCGATAGGACTCCTTCTTCAGCCTGACGGCATCCCTTACTGCCGGTGTCCACCACCGGGTTCGGGGGTTGCCACCGGGACCAGCACCAGAGACCTTGCAACCACAGCTACGAGCCGCCGCATCGGCGATAGAGGAAGAGAACATGGTCCACTCAGACTCAATGTCCCCCTCCTCTGCCGGGACCTGGGAGAAGCTCTCCCGGAGGTGTGAGTTGAAAATCCGTCTGACAGGGGGCTCAGCGAGACGTTCCCAGCAGACCCTCACTACACGCTTGGGCCTGCCAGGTCTGACCGGCTTCCTCCCCTGCCAGCGGATCCAACTCACAACCAGGTGGTGATCGGTTGACAGCTCCGCCCCTCTCTTTACCCGAGTGTCCGAGACACGCGGTCGAAGGTCAGATGATACAACAACAAAGTCGATCATCGACCTCCGGCCTAGGGTGTCCTGGTGCCACGTGCACTGGTGGACACCCTTGTGCTCAAACATGGTGTTCGTGATGGACAAACTGTGACTAGCACAGAAGTCCAACAACTGAACACCGCTCGGGTTCAGATCAGCGGGGCCGTTCTTCCCCATCACCCCTCTCCAAGTGTCACTGGCATTTCCCACATGGGCGTTGAAGTCCCCGAGGAGAATAACGGAGTCCCCAGGCGGTGCACCGTCCAGTACACCTCCCAAGGACTCCAAGAAGGCCGGGTACTCTACACTGCCGTTAGGCCCGTAGGCCGTCACAACCGTGAGAGACTTGTCCCCCACCTGAAGGCGGAGGGACGCGACCCTCTCATTCACTGGGGAGAACTCCAACACGTGGCGGCTGAGATGGGGGGCAATGAGTATGGCCACCCCAGCTCGCCGCCTCTCCCCGCCCTCTCTGCCCAATCCATTCTGAAATTTAAAATTCACAGATGCAAACTGTATATATTCAGGTGGGCATATGCCAGAAGTTGTTTTGGAAGGTTCTTCAGAATGGACCTAACCCCCAAAAGTGATGCCACCAGCAAAGTTAGAATGAAAAGTTAGTGCACATACAGGGTGGTCACGGCGGCAAGCTGGCACAAGTTGAATCCAGGTTATTTTGTTGAGATACAACGGATAAACAAGCAGTTGCCCATTTCCAATCATTTGTATGAAAAAGCTAAAACATGGATAAATTATTCATTTTTGAATGCTGAAGAAACTTTATCCTGTCAACTTGCTACTTTAAAGTATCCGGCAGATGTTGGAGTTGGACTCGAAACCACAAGTTTATGCTAAGTACCCCCTCATTCAAGTTTGCAGAAGTCTCATTCAAAGGCCATTTTCATCAGCGCGAACCTAAAACGCAACTGTCAGCCCACCCAGAAGTGCGCATCACTCCCACATATATCACAAGATGTCTTCAGCACACAAGGGAAAATAACATTTGTCCATAGGCATCACTTTATGAAGAGCTACTGTTGATCACGAACCCTCCCACGCTGCTGAGTTTGTTTGTTTAAGTCCCAGGCAGCGTTTACCCTTATGCCTTTTGTGCTTGTGTCGCGCAGCATCACCAAGGAAAGCATCGTAGACGTGGAGGCGGTGGTGCGCAGAGTGGAGCAGAAGATCGAGAGTTGCACCCAGCAGGACGTGGAGCTTCACATCGAGAGGGTGGGGGCGCTTTTGTTTTGTACCACAGTCCTCGAAGGCAACACAAACTCACACCGGGACCTGCGCATTGTTCTTTGTGCAGCTGACATGAAGGGAGATGTATGCCTTGTCTTATCCCTGCAGGGCGACTGGGCAGAAGTGTTTCATTTAGCTGTCACTCAATACAACGCAAAGTGGAGAAGTCTATATTACTGCTTTATCTCGGTCATACAAGGACAGTGCTGTTCGATTTTCTGATCTGTGTTGGCGATTTCAACGGTTTTGTCAAGTCCTCTGAGATAACTACTGTTGAGATTCAGGGCTATACAAGAATACATTGAATCAAAACTGAATAGTGAATAAACTGGATAATAAATAGGACTCTTTAGTTGAGTTATTGGCTGAAGGTTCCTTTGTTAATCATTTTTTATAAGACAACTTCTTCCTGTTCTTTGTGAAAACTCAAAAAATGAAATAATTGTTTGGTAACACTTTATAATAACTGCAGCTTTTTTAGGCTTAATAAATGCTTAAATAACCCTTAGATTAATTATGAACAATTCATTAATTAAGTGCAGTTTTGGTGAAGTACATAATTATATTTGCAGCATTTGCCACGTCCTCTCTTTAATATATCAATATACAAGGCAGTTTTACCTTTTATTCAAAATAAGTTTACCCTGAACTTTTTACTTTTGTTCTTTTTACATGAAGTCTATAGCATAAAGTAAATTAGACATCGACAATGTGTTATTCAGACAATATTGTGGCAGTCTTGTTTGAGGTTAAAGAGCTGAAGAACCCAACCATAGAATTGCAGAAATATAACTTTTAAGAGTAAATGAAAGACATGCATATTTTATTTTTAATTGGATCAATTAGTCACTCCTGTCCGTTTGTTTTTTTGTTTTGTTTTTTGACAACCCTCATCTTATGTTTATGTTGGATGCTACACTTAATCTGTTGCTATTGAAGTAATCACGCAGACAACAAGCCAATAAAACAAGCTCGAGTTTCAGATATGCCATCCCGTAAACACAGTCCTCTCTTGGCTTCGTTGGCTGCATATGTATTCCGGGTACTTTCCACTGCCGTTGATGCCAGGACTTAAGGGGAGTTTGACACAATGTGAATCTTAATGCTCTTTGTTGCTCTGGTCTAGATTTTCGTCATTAGCCAGGCCGAGCCACGTCTGCCCCTGCAGCTGGATGACGCGGTCAGACCCGACGGAGATGGAGAGGAGGTAAGGCTGCTGCCAGCTCGAGGTCATAGGAAGTGCATTTCAACTCAGGGCTCAGGGCACGGAGCATCAGCCAAGACGGTGTCAGCTTCCACATCACCTTCCACTGTTTGGCTTTACATGACCGCTACAGGAGTGGCACCAGCTCTGTTATTCTGCAAATACAGGAAAATACACTACACCAAAAAATGTGATGGATTTTTGATAGTGCTCAGATATTTTAGCATACAATCAATGGTTAACTGCTATAAAAAAACAAGAGCCACTGAATCCAGATGATGATCCTGAACACCTCCAAATTCTAAAAATTGTTTTCCCTGTCTCATTTCCCAACATTGACTGATAACACTGTTAAACATGCCCATGTCTTTTTGAGTTAGCAGATTAACAAACCTGATGAAAACTTGTATGTTATTCAATTATCCGCTGCCCAGTCAGCACTGTAGCTCCTGGAGTTTATTCTGAGCCTTAGGGGTCTGGATGTTCTTGGATATTCATCCATTTTCTTAATACCTGCAATCATAGGTTGCAGGTATGTCTGTCTATTGTTTGTTTGTCTATTTTGACAAATGTATTGATATAATGTGTATATTTGAAATGAGCTTGAGGAAGCCTCTGTGATCTACAGTACATGGATTAATCTTTGATTTTGTTCTTTTTTTTGTCTTTTGGCTGTCAACAAATATGATATCCCCAAGTCTTTCCAGATGACTGAATTAGGTTTCTGGCTGTACAAAATATGTTGATTTGAGTTGATAAAGGTTACATGAAAATATAAATGTACATGAAACTACAGTAAGGGAATAATTTTATCAGGATTTAATGGACATATTACATGTTCCTGTTTGAGCATGAAAAGGAAAAAAGTGGAAACCTTTTAATCTCTATATGTACTTTTGGTGTGACTGCACTCTGCATTCTTTTTTGAGTTTTACTATTGATTTGCTTTGTCTATCGACGTTATGCAACGTCAAAAGTAAATTGATCTTCGTCTTATAATGATAAGACGAAGAGATAACTACTAGGGTAACCATTGTTTTGTCTAACCTAAACAATGGTTAGAGAGTTATTTAAGTGAGAGAAGGCAGCTGGTACAGATTGACCAACACAAATCTGGATTTAAGAACATAACGTGTGGAGTACCTCAAGGATCAATACTTGGACCCACTTTATTCATAATGTACATAAATGATATATGTACAATATCAAACTTAATGAAATTCATTCTCTTTGCCGATGACACAAATATCATATGTGCAGGTGATGATCTGGAGCAGCTCTTGGCCGTTGTAACTGTTGAAATGAACAAACTAAAGACCTGGTTTAATACAAACAAGTTGTCATTAAATATAAAAAAGACCAAGATTATGCTTTTTAGCAATCGCAGATGTAATATTCCTGTCAAGATTGTCATTGACGATACAGAAATGGAAAAAGTTCACCAAAATACATTTTTAGGAGTTGTAATAGATGATAAAATATCCTGGAAACCCCACATAAATTTCATCAGGTCAAAAGTTGCTAAATGTGTTGGAATGATGAGGAGAGCAAGTCATTTACTCAACACCAATGCTCTTCTATTATTGTATCGTTCTTTCATCATGTCATATTTACATTACTGTGTTGAAGTGTGGGGAAACTGCTACAAATCCCACTTACAGCCTCTGATCACGCTGCAGAAAAAGGCCATAAGGATTGTCTCTAATGTTCACTACAAGCATCATACTCACCCACTGTTCATAGAGTTGGAAGAATTTAAATTACAAGATTTGATTCACTTTAGAACTGCTCAGATTATGTTCAGGGCATCAAAAAACTCTCTGCCTCCAAATGTTCAGAATTTATTTCGTGACAGAGACGCGCATCATAGTCATAGACTAAGAGGAAATAAAAATGTATACTTGCCTAAATTTAGGACCACTTTAAAGTCAATGTGTGTCTCAGTGCGAGGAGTTTCTCTATGGAATACCTTAAAGGATGAACTTAAAAATAGTACAAATCTGACTCAATTTAAAGCTTTGTTTAAAAAAGATGTACTAAAGAAATACAAGGAGGAAAGAGAGTGATGCCCTCAGCACAGAGCGAGTGATGGCAGAGAGGGGTGGGGTCAGAGTGTCCGGGCCTGTGTGTGTGTGTGTGTGTGTGAATGTGCGTGAATGTGCGTGTATGCGCATGGGTTGTTTTTTGTTGTTTTTTTTCTATATATATATCATTTTTTGTTGTATACCATTGGTGGTAGTACGTATTGAAATTCTTGGCAAAATGTACAGTAGTATTCTTGTATACCATTGGTGGTAGTGTTGTATTGACAATAGTACTTTGTGATGTGATTTTTGAATTATTTTGACGGGTGTTGTGTGGGTGAGAGGGTTGGGCTAAAATAAGCATAGTGCTTCATCCAACCCCTTTTCAAACCTTGAACATGTGTCTGAACATTTGTCAAATGTGTCTTCTGTGCAGGTTTTGAAATAAAGAAAGAAATTCAATAAGAAGTATCTAATGCTATAAAGACTTGTTCTAGTGTATAGAAAAGCATTATGCTGTACTTCGGACCAATTTGTCTGGTCCTTTTTCAACTACACTGCAATTTAAACTCTATTACCCTTTGCTTGTGAGACTCGCCTCACTCTGTGCTCTGTGATTTCAATGCTGCGATTTATAATGGCCAGCGGAGATTAGCAGCATTCTGAATTACAGATAGGATTTTACATTTTTGCTAATTTTTCAGAATAAAGCTCTTTAAGTGTTCAACTTTCCATTGTGAGCTTTTTGACAATTCGTTTACAATATACACATTGTATGGATTTTATATATTATACAATGATAAAGTCAGTGCTGTCAGTTGAACATGTTAATAACGGCGTTAACTTAAAGCCATATTAGCCCTACGCAGCAAAAATTCGTGTGGACTGACAACTTATGTTATCACACTTCTAGGAGTGTATTTTTAAACTCCCAGGAGTCTGACGTCTAGCGGAACGTAATGAATAGGTGAAACTCTGTATCATTTAATTGACGAGTATCCAGCACTACTGAACATTTGATGAACAGCTTGTGCCTTGATTGCCATAGCCTTCAGGTGTTTACTGGGGGGACTTCCACCTCAGTAACACATTTAGCCGTGGCACCTGTCACCTCCAGAGACGCCGTTAACAGCCCTCTGTCTCTGCCTCGACTTGTCCCTCTGAGCTGAGGAGATTTGGAGCAGGATGCAGCTATAGCAAACTTTTAGCCCAAACGCTGCTGTGTTCCCAAAGGAAGCCAGACATCCCTGACCCTAAAGTCTGCAGTCCCTCCTGTGATGAAATATTTACTCTTTCATTTGTTTCCCCTGTTTTTAAAATTGCGGATGTGTTTTGTCAAGAGTTGAAGCTGGCCCTGTAACAGTGGCTCCCATATGTGTTTATTTATTTATTTATTTGGGTGTTAAAGGAGGTACAATGCATATTAATGAACATTTAACAAATGTAAATATGCCAGATTATAGCCTTAGGCTAATTTCCATCTGCAGATGGAAATGGAGTTGCATTAGTTTTGCTTCTCAAGAATATTCTGTTTTTTCCCGGCAGCAGGAAAGGATTTCTATTTCAGAGGTTAACGAAAGTTATTTTTTCATACTAAATATTGATGTGTTATAGTTGAATGCGTCTCTTTATTGTTATATATATATATTTCATATAGTGTTATTTTTGCATGCAAACATACAATTTAAAACATTTAGTGCTGGAGAAATGTGAGATTTATATATAAGTGTTTTGATCAATCTCTCATCATTTGCAGGAAGGAAGAGCCACTGTGAACCAGGACACCAGACTGGACAACAGAGTTATTGACCTCAGGGTAAGTTTGGACTTGAGCTATTTGGTTTTATGTTCTCACTTAGTTATGACCGTATCGGTGGTGTGCATGTCCGACAATGGAGGAACACTGTCCACAGGTCTAGGCTGTGTGGTGTGAAGACAGAACTCGGAATCTGTATGAGCGCTTGAATTGCAATCAAATCTAATTAACCCATTTTTTTCCGACCCACTCTTATTAGCTTAGAGTAGTAGCTGGTTTCTACCAATCGTAGGGGTGAGTGAACATGGCAGAGAAAACTGTATTTTGCATGTTTTTTGTTCAGTAATTTGTATGTGTGAATGTTGAATGTTTGCAACAATTTAATCGTTAGTCTTTATTGATATTTGTAGCATACTGTATACGTGCTCAACATGAATGAGTGATACCTACTCCACAATGGGAAAATGGCAGTACATAATTACATAACTATACATATTTGTAGTAATGTATCATGCTTCCAAAGATTCTGTGGCCGGAATTTGTTTGCTCTGCTTTGGCAAATCATTTCATAGTTTCATTAACATTCATAGTGCCAATGTGTCTCAAAAACATTTCAACAAGGGCAGTCATTTCTCCTTTTGTCTCTTGCGCCATCAGCAGCTGCTCATTTGACTAACGTATCCAACACGAATCAACAAAACATCACCAGACAAAAGCAGAGGTCTGGCCATAAACAGGATGTGGACCGTTGAAACGTACAGACACAAATACAGAGCTATAGGCACAATATGTTTTCATCTTCAGCGCTGAGAGAGAACAAAGTGCAACCTCGTCCTGTGCCCCATTGCTCTTCACACGTTGGCATTGTCAGATAGTGCGCAACTCTCTACATGTTCACTCAAGTCCCATTGTGAAGAAGATTACACTCAATATAGCTCACAGTCTGAAACCCATCCGTAATGCGGCTTGTTCATGCCAAAATGCATCATCTCCCAGGTCATTATTTGTCTCTCTGAACCTAATATCAAATGACAAGTTCACATTTTAGCATACGTTTACTGCCAAGAGGAGACATCTGAAGCCAAGAGCAAGTTTCTTGTACGCGGTTATACATACAATAGATATACAATTGATAATACCATGCCTCGAAGCAGATTTCACATTTTGAGCATTGTGTAAATTACATAATTGAATATGATTGTGTTGGATAAAGATAAAGCAGATATTTATTCCACCATGAATTTTTTTTTATCAGCATAAATGTCTTTAGGTCCAGGCTGCTTCTTTATGTTCTGTTTCATCCATAATCTCTACAAACAAGTGTTACAACCAATGTCCACTCACATTTTTTTATGAAACATTCAGACAATTGGAAGGCCTTTTGTTTGTTTTTCCTCTTTCTTTTCACTTTTATAAAATCAGATGAAAGAACACAAAATTGCAATACAAAACGCTTACATGGTTTGAATGTATTGAAATTACAGAAAGATTCTGACTTTTTGTTTTGAAGATGCAATTATTACTTCCTTTGAGCCATCGTATCATTTAGAGAATATCAGTTGTTTTTGGCCTCCTTATCTCAACGGAGACTCTAAAATCTTTGTTCTTTTAAGGTTTTGTCTTGGTCCCGCATTTGGTCGAAGGGCTGCTCCTTCCCTTGAGCCATAGTTTAGGACCCCCCTGCACTACGCCAAAGGTCCTTATTTCTCACCACTCTGAAACCCATTGTAGAAAACCAACGCAAACCTCAGCACTAAAACCACCACCATTCTTTAATTCTCTGCATGCACTGGAGCTGCAGGGTTTGTGTGCATAGTGGGACCTGCGGTAGAGCTAATGCGGGCCACAGAATAGACTGAGCCTTCTCCACTGTGTCTGATTGTTTTGATGTGTGCCTCCCACGTGGACGCGGCAGGAAGGCGCTGTAGAAACACCTGGTTGTGTGTGTGTGTGTGTGGCACCGTGCACTTTGAGCTGCAGACCCAGGCCCTGTCATCAGCCCTGCACTTCAGAGTCCTGACTGCAGCCATAAAGAGGTTCCCACACACCACACCACAGCCCCACTAGAGATCCATGAAGCGGAATAATGATCATCTTCTTCTGCTGTGTTTGTAACTAGTTTGTGCAACAGTAGCGTGCTCTGTTGAAGTCCCTTTCAATGGGGGAGTTGTGTTTTCCATCTGTGATTTTGTTTATCTTTACTCTATCGCAGAAGGCTGACATTTGTAAAACAGCTTTCTCCAGTCTTTACTGCAGTAGATGGCTAAGATTCTTGGTAGTAAGACATGTCCTGTGCTTAGTTCAGTAGTCTGAAGCTGCGTGTTGTGGTGCAAGGAAAAGCCTATATATGTCTTGCTGAGTTCAAAAATATAATTTATTATTGTTACATCTTGTAAATTCAATGACTTAACCTTTGTTTGTTTATTGCAATACTACATTACATAACTGAACCAAAGTTCTTGGCAAAAGTCCAAATACAAAGTCATAAAGGTAACATCCTATTTCAGGTATTTGCTATTTGAAGTGGCTTTTTTTAAAGTTAATTTACCATTAATGTATGCTTTTTCATTTTCTTAACTAGGATCTACAATAAATATTGGACCTCTCATGTAATCACCAATTTAGATTAGAATGTATCTACTCTGCAGATATGAGAGGAAGACATTGTTAGGTCTTTTGAACATGGAAGCAGCTCATGATTTGAACACTTTCCCCACATTTTGAGCCAACATGTTTAATTTTTAAGATTGAAAATTCCTCCTCATTCTGTATTAACCAAAGTCAAACCTTGCCAGAGGTTGGTTTCATTTCACCGCCACAAACCCCACATATGTCATGACTTTGGCGACCTCTTACATGATTTAATATGATTTTCTTATTTGTTTTATTTTCAATCCTATCTTGTTTCTTTTAGTTGAATGTTGTTGTTTTTTAAAGGAACAATAGGAAGTTTCCAGTTTGTACCAGACAGCCCTGCAGCACTGTCTCCAGATTAATGAGCTTGCCAGCATTAAGACATTATTACTTTTTCAATCTGCCAACTGCAAGACTGACACGCTCTATTCAGGACTTTGGACAAGCACCAGAGCGGCAGAGTAAAAAGGAGGAGGAAATTAAGTTTTTTAATTAAAAGCCCAGCCATTCCTCTTGTACTTAAAGGAATAAATGTCTTAGAAATGTGTTAAACTGAATTTGAAAACTTCCAAAGGTCGGGCTGTAAGTTTTGTGGTCTGTTTTCTAGTTTGGATGAGGCTGTAGATCTTAGGAAGGGCTTACAATACAGTATTTTCTTGGCATCATCCGTACCAGGGGAGAGCAATCTTTTTTGTTGTTAAATAATGTCAAAGTCCTTTCTTTTTTTTATGTGGGTTGTTCAGAGTTTATGAACAACCCACATAATTGATTCAGGAGGCTTGCTGGTTTAACATAACTCTTAACGTCATCCTTGGCTCATCAAAACCTTTTTAATAACCCAATTTGAAAGGTAATTTACAGTTTGACTAGCTAAGCTTTGTTCAAGGTCTGTGAAACACCCTTTGTGACTGGTCCTTTTTATTTAGCACATTTGTAAGCGTGTCACCGTACAGTTTAAGCTACAGAGAAAAACAAATGATACTGAAAAAGCAATGACAAAACGGGTCTAACGTAGAACAATCACAAACCATTTTAGGCTTTAGGCCACAACAAATAACTGGCGGATTTATTCATCCATCCATTTTCATCCCTTTAATCCATTTCTGGGTCTTAGGGGTGGCAATCAGAGCTGCACCCACTTCCCAGAGCACCAGCATCAGACATATTCATCCCCACATTTAAATTCATTTTTTTTTTTTACAATAATTTAAAAAGTACAAATAAATCTACAAAGATCATTATTAAATGCCAAAAGATTGTTACAGGTATTGTGTCATTTTTAGTGACATGGCTACTTGTGTGTTCCTTAAACCACACAGTATATAGATCATTAGTTCAATATTGTGCCATGTTAGTCAAATAACACTGATTGTGGATGTGTAAACGCTTCTCTTTGATTTAGTTATAATTTAGTTTTTTGCTTTTTGCATTTTTGTTTACACACAACAGACGTAAGACCTTACAGATTAGATTATTACTCAATTCTTTCACAATTTCTTCTATCTGGTGGTACACATTTTGTCCTACAGTCAACATTCTTTAAACTCCCAGAGGCTCACTTTGTACTGCCAACAGATACTACTCCTCTCTGCATATGAAGAAAACATAATTGCGTAATTTAAGACAATGATTCGTGCCAAGTTTCTTAATGCGCTGTGTGTGGTTTTTGTCTTGTGTTGTTACCTAGACGACCACCAGCCAGGCCGTGTTCCGCCTGCAAAGTGGCGTGTGCCAGCTCTTCAGAGACACACTCACCAACAAGGGCTTTGTGGAGATCCAGACCCCCAAAATCATATCAGGTACAAGCATCGCACACACTCGCCACACGCCGGTGGAAAACAAAAGTGACACAGCAGCTGGAGGTGCAATTTATTCGGGGTTGTTACAAAATGAGAAAACGTCGGGCATAAAATGATGCAACTGAATAATTGAATGGGCATGTAGACATTCTGCCTCGAACTTTAAAGCTGGGGTACCTAACTTTTTTTGTTTCATAAATGATACGTGATATTTGTCCCAACAGAGTCTTGTAAAAGTTTGATTGATTGAATCCGACCACAATATCTTTATTTTGTTAAAAAAAATATATATTATGCATTCTTATTTTGCATGCTAGAAATAAGCCTTGTGAGTCACTATTTGACACTTAGGGCTGAGGGCTGCATTTGAGCACTCATGATGGAGCTCATTGTATTGAGAGCGAGGGAATAGTTAGATTGTGCTATACTCAATGTTCTTAATGCTCCTCGTTCCTCCTGTTCTGTTACTTCTGTCCTGGACGAATAAAGGATCTTTTAGTTTTAATGATTTTATACATATGAACTTTTATGTGATCTTTCAGTTGAGCACACCAGCTTAGAGTCTGGTTTGTCATAATTGAATTGCATTAATTTATTGCTGAAATTCTAGAGTGATTGGGCTTCAGGGCAAAGGCTCTGTATGGACCGTTGTATGACTGAGTGAGTAATAGAGCTGCAACTAACGATTATTTTGTAATCGATTAATCTATCGATTATTTTTACGATTAATCGAGTAATCGCTTGGCTGTGAATTGTGTAGAAAAAAATGTATTTTTTCATCACAAAAAGCTAAAGTGGCAACACTCGAGATCGTATTGATGGCGTAAACTTAAAGTAAATGTTTGTAACAGGCTCTTTGTGCTAATTCTGCTATCTGATTGGATGAGACTGACAGATATTCATGAAATTATAAAAACAAAGTCGGTTTTAATCAAAAATACTACATTTTCATGTCATTTTTGCTCTGTTTGAGTCCGTGTGAACCAGAAAACGATTAATCGATTACTAAAATAGTTGTCGACTATTTCAATAATCGATTAGTCGTCGATTAATCGATTAGTTGTTTCAGCCCTAGTGAGTAATGTATAATACTTCCTGTTGAAGAAACCAAATCAGATTATGGTACACAATCTTCACAAATGTATAGTTTGTGCTGTCTGAGAAAACACAATAACCATAAAACACCATTATAAAAACAGTTCTATTAGATTTTCAGCTCTTAACAATTCAATTTTTAATGTGTGATTTGCCTTTTTTCCATGTTTTTAGCTGAGGTCAGTCTCTTTACATTCAAGTCAATACACAACTTGAGTACCACCCTAGAAAGGCAATTCCATGATACAAATCCTGTGTTAAGTTTTTAATTTCCCTCCTTCTGTTTTGAATTTTGTTAATTAGCTCCTCATCCAAAAAAGTAGTGGAGGGAATTTGTTTGTTAGAAGACATATGGTGCTTCTGCCTGCTCTACAGCGATAATCTCTGACACCTGTGGCTTGTTTTTATACGTTTATAGTGCATCAGAGATCTCAATATTGATTTAAAAAAAAAACAACTCTGCCCCTTTACGTGGCGGCAGTGGAACCACAGCCAAATCAAAAGCTCCGCAGAGGCTGTAGATAAAGCGTGCAATCTGATGATTAAGTCACTAAACCCAAAAGAACTAATATAAGGAAAAAGTAGGTAAAAACATTAGTGGTGACTCATGGTCCGGGAAGCCAGAGGAGAGCAGTTTTGTCCCTGTTAAAAGTACTCTGGTCAAATAATACCTGGGTTCCTCTAGTTCTCTATGTGTACAGTACAGATGCATTGATATATCGGCTTCCAAATTTAACTTCCCACGTCATCTGCTCCATTACAACACAATACAATACCCCGCTAATTAAGCAGGAGTGGCTTTGTTTGAGCTGGCTTTCAACAGATAGTTGTTAAATCAAAAGTAGAGGATAAAAGAAGCGAGGGAGATTCGCTCATAAATCTTGACATCAGCATTCACTGGGTTTTTGTGTTGCGTAGCGTCTGGCTTTACCTTATGTTTCCTCCCACACCATCTTGCTATTTAACTACTTTTCAAACATTTCAACCAAAATAAGTTCATGGTTTAAATTAATATTCACATAGAGATTACATTATTCTATATATATGCCACAGCCGCTCACACAAGTATAAATAAAGATAAACGTGACTTTTCTTCACCAGTTCCTTGTTTTTTTTCAAACTGAGATGTGGTGAAAGTTTTTCTCTCTTCCTTCTTTTCAGGGGAGACGCATGCAGACCTTTCTAAATTTAAAAGTGGCGCTCTTTTTGTGTGTGCGTGTGTTTTGGCGGCCCTCGCGTGTCAACATGATGTACTGTGACAAAACCGCTTCTTCCTGCCTGACACACCCAAACCCGCCCCCACTCCCCTCGCAATAGTCGTACCACTGTGAGAAGTATACATTTTGATGCCAATGACGCTGGTGCAAATGGGGAACCAGTTGTTAGCCGTTATGTAATACCAGCAGCTGCATGTGTAAACAGTTTTCCAGTGGAGACCTTTCTGTCTTGAGCGTCACCAAATCATTTTTGAAATATCCCCATGACATTGTTTTTGAGAAGATGCTCCCAGTAAGAAGGCCTGTTTTATAATATGCAATATATATAGGGGCAGCAAACACAACAAAAAACAAACAAGAGTTCAAGAAAGATGAGTGCTGCAGTGGGTCTAGGATCAGGATCAGCAAGTGGCAAATACCCTGGAAACTTTTTAATGAACAGGGATTTATAATACAAGATAAATCCCTGTTTATTAAAGGATTTTTATTTTATTGTCAAGAGGGGCTCGGATTTTTCTCCTCTCTTCAAAAAACGGCTATATAAAAAAAAAAAATGCTTTTATTATAGGCGGTGGTGCCATTTATAGAATTTTGTGCTGAAAGTTAAATGTCATACCAGTCATTGAAGCATGGCTATATTGGCAAAGTTGAAGGTAGAAGGCCACATAAAATGACACAAGCCAGACATGTTTTGTTTTTGGGGGGGGGGGGGGACTTTTGAAGGAGCATTTTTCTCTTTTAGATGGTCAAGTACTGTGCTTTTTTGTTTAAATTATTTGGACAATAAACTGTCATAACACAGATTAATAGTACGTTTGTTGGGTTCAAGGTATTTATTTTGTCACTTGTTGAAGTGAGTTTCAAGAGACAATGCTAGCTTTAGAATTTAATGCTCAATACTTTTGACAATCCTATAACCTTGTAGTGCTGATGATGTTGTGCGCACGCTTTGCAGATAGCCATGTGGAAGTCCTCTTGAGCAAAGAAACATCAGAGAATAACTTATTTGGAACGTATCCGAGAAAGTTGTGAACGAGGCTGATGGAAGCGTGGAGTGTGCGTCTGACATACAGTACATCATCATTAGTATGAGTGATGGCCCTTCTGTGGCAGCGGGTCGAGGCATTTCTCTTTTCCTGCGTCTAAACTTATCTCCGTTCTTCCTCAGCTGCCAGTGAAGGTGGAGCAAACGTCTTCACCGTGTCGTACTTCAAGACGAGTGCCTACCTGGCCCAGTCTCCGCAGCTCTACAAGCAGATGTGCATTTGTGCTGATTTTGACAAGGTCTTCTGTGTGGGTCCAGGTAAGGCGGCCCACCCATCTGTCACACCACTTTCCCATCATTTACAGCCTAACAAGCAGCCGGGGTGCGGTAAGGTGATAGACCCCTGTTAAAGTGGATGACAGCTCTAAAATGCTTCCAAATACGTTTAGGTTGTTAAGGTTTTACACGCTCTCGTTGGCTTCTTAACATGAGACAGAGCTGCTGCGGCTGCTATACTGTTAAGTGTGCTACCGACTCGGCTGGGATAGTAAAGCGTTTTATTAAGCTGCTGCAGTGTTATAAAGGGGCTGTCAACTTTATAGGTAAGATAACACAGCCGCTGGCTTCATTTATTTCTTTACGAATGTTTTGGAAAATATTTTTTACCAACACAAATCAAGAAAAGGATACAACACATTGCAAGTATACATTTTCTTGTAATTATTGTCACAACAATCAATCAAGATGTTTATTTCAAAATATGTGCCAAGACAACTTCAAAAACAAACTAACAGACACATGTACATGTTTGGAAAAAGAGGCTGGATGAATCCTCCAACCACCAAACTCATTCAACATGGAAACGGTCAAATCATCACGTCAAAAAAACCTCAAAATACAGTCGAACAGTCAGCCAATACTCAGATGGGACAAGACAATATACACTCTCAGACAAAGGTCAAACACTCTCTGACCCTACACCTTTGCTCTATACATACACTATTAAACTGACATTGTGACAAGTCAAGACCATCAACACCACCTGAGACCTCGTCCAGAAACTTGCCTATCAAAAACCTCATATACACCATTGCCACTACTTTTTGCAAATGACAAGGATCCAATATTTGCCAAGTGGTCTTTTGTTCTCGAGGCTCGCTGGAGAATACAGGAGTATAAGGTCATCCCTGCTACAATAATAATGCCCTTTTTGTGGTCACTATAGTAAAGTCAATAAAAAATAATGTACTACTTTGGTCCCAGCAGTCTCGGGCTGTACAGAACTTTCTACTGAATGGTTGCTTTGGTCTGTCCAGGGATGCAATTAATGTGTGAAGCCGTACTTCATGTGATATTGCTGTAGCTGTGAGTCTAAATAGCACAGTACTTGACCACAGCTATGGAAGCTTTGTCAACGCTGTTATAACTACAATCATACTTTTGGAATACCATCTGCTTAATTTATCCCACTTCCCGTTGTTATAAATGGAGAAAAACGTTTTATGTTTATGTATTTTTTGTTAAACGGCTCAACAGTGATTGTGAAAAGGATGGGACCTTAAGCTTGAATATTAGTCTATATATTAATGATCAATAACACAAGATTACATATTTTCTAAGAGGGGTGCGTTTTAAGATTAAAAGATCTGTTAATTGTCCCACAGTGGGGAAATTTCAGTGTTACATCAAGCTACAGAACATTAGGAATTAGGCACACACAGCACAAGATAAATTACTAACTCTATACTAAAATAAAATAAAATCTCTTAACACCAGCCTAAAAGGAAGCAGTAACATCTGTATCTTTATAAGGATGTATGAGAAGGGAAGGAGTCTTGAAATCTCCAACTTAAGTCTTGCTTCTTCATCACGCTAAAGTACAAAACCCCTGTATAACATTTAGCCCTCCACATTCCCATTACACTGTGCAAAAGGCCAACCATCCGCTTTCTGTTTATTTTTTTTCAGTTTTCAGGGCAGAGGACTCCAACACCCACCGTCACTTGACTGAATTCGTGGGTCTTGATATCGAGATGGCGTTCAACTACCACTACCACGAAGTTATCGAGTCAATTACCGACACGATGGTGCAGATCTTCAAGGGACTACGAGACAAGTGAGATCAAAAAGGAGCTACTGATGTCTCCTCTCTCCTCAACGCGCTGTAATGAGCTTTGAGCCTCTTGTAATTAGCTTCTCTGCATTCCGAAAGAATCTCCAAAGGTCCCCGTACGACACCGGCTAGAAAATTGTTCAGAATCAGACTCAAAATTTGCCTCCGGTTTTGACTGACAAGATTTCTCGGGGGAGTGCAAAAAAAAATAAGTTAACATTTTTGACACCAGAGAAAGTATTGGCATAGTTGAATCTCCCGTAAATGTTGTCACCTGCTGCCGTCTGTTTTAATGATGCGTTTTCAGTTCTGCTGTCAAGTGTATGTGCAAGAACGGGGCTATGGTGTCACTTTAGTGCCTCCCAGTGGTGGCAATTGGTACTGGAAGTAAAACGAAAAAGGCAATGAGAGTTGATGAATTGTTGAAGAGTTGAATTTGATAGAATATTATAGCTTCTAACCAAATGTATTATATATAATCATTATTTATACAGTATTACGCAAACATTTTAGCTCCTGTATCAGTTTGATGGAGCACTTAAGCTTTTTGAAGAAATTACACTAGTTTTGGTTTTCTGTGGTCAGGAGATCAATTCAATGGGGACATAACTTATCAAAATATGAGTATTTTAAAAAGTATACTATAAGTTGTTTTTATAGAAATAGATTCATGTTTGAGTACATAACCACCTTCATTTCTTATGGATTATTCAACAGCAGTTAATCTTCAAATGGAAAAAAATAATAATCCGCTTTGATTCAGGAGTCTTTGATGTGACCACATTCCTGCTGATGCTGTCTGAAAGAGTGCAGCGGTACAGCAGGAGTTAATACAGAAATAATGCGAGGATTTCAGATCGATATTTAGATTTTAAATGTACTGAATAATAATGGGGAGTCACAAGTGTTGTATATTCTTACAATATAGACAAAAGCATTCCTATCTTGTGATCTTCCCTAATCACTAGTTAGCGGTGGAAAACAGTCTATTAATTTAGTTTGTGAAAGGAAAAATGGCAAACCCTCAGGTGAGCTGGATTTTTCATATCTACATTTTGCTTCAAATTTGGTTGTCGCATTTCTGTCCTCAGTTTGTAGATTCGTCGATTAGTCTGCCGTTGTGATAGTGGCCAGACAAGCTACAGCCCTGAATGAACTTGGACAAAAGGCGATGCTCGTGACAAGGCACCTATTTAAACAAAGATAGCGCTTTATTAGACCGGTGCATCTTGGATCGTTTCCCACTGACTTTCAACAATCACTCACCTTCTGTTTTTAACATCTTGTTGTCTGCTGAGATCATAACCCACTGTTTTACTTCATTCACCCTGTGGTTGTAGATTGTGGCTCCCGCCCACAGGGTTCCCATGGCTGAAAATGACATTGCTTTTTTGTTCTGGCAATAAGTTCAGGCTGGACGATAAACGGGCAAAACATATGCTTTTTAGACATAGATATACTTTATTGATCCTGTAGGAGAAATTCAGGTGTCCAGTAGCAGCAGAAATACATCCATCCATACAAACAAAACAACTAAATCGGTAATTCTAAAAATAGCTAACGCATTGATCAATTAGTTTTTATCCTATTTCAGTTTTCGCAACGAGCTTTGAATGTTAATTTCATTATTATATGGAGGGCATTTTTAATCCCTTTCAATTACCACAACAAGTCTCCTCCAAAGTCTGAGCTCTGCTGAAGAGGGATTAACTGTTTGGCTCTCAACAAAAACTCCAGCATATCCTTGACAATTAGGAAAAATTACTTCCTTTGATCATTTTTAAACGTCATAATTGATCTTAAAATTTTCTGGGCAACATTTTTTACTGATAATTGTATTGTGTGAAAACCATTCCTCTATAGATTTGTGGCCTGGAGACTCGTTGTCTAACAAATCACATAAGACCATATTGCGAAAAGACATGCTTTTTTCACCTTTTTCCACTGACCAATGCAGTTGTGAAATGTTCTTATCTTCTCAATACAATTTGTTTTGTTTCAAAACTACAACTAAAATCCTCTCAGATAAACGAGGAGTATAAAATGTCACAGTGCGAGGCTTTGTCCTGTATTTTAAGAACTCTTATCACATTTTGTAATTGTCATAACGCCATCATCTCGTCTTTCAGCTTCCAGACAGAGATCCAGACGGTGAATAAGCAGTTCCCCAGTGAGCCTTTTAAGTTCCTGGAGCCCACGCTGAGGCTGGAGTTTCAGGAGGCGGTGGCCATGCTGCGCGAGGCCGGTGTGGAGATGGGAGACGAGGAGGACCTGAGGTGAAAGGGCGCATGCACCGAAAACAACACGCCAGTCACGGGATTAATGAGATAGATCATTGTTTAAAGGCAAAAGGCAATGAGGAAGTGAAACTGTAAAGAGAAGTTCTAAACAAAAGTGGAATGATCTGTAACTGGATCTTAACTTGTGTGTGTGTGTGTTGTGCCCCCTATTGGTGGTAAACGGCAAGGGCGGCTTCCCTAGTGCTGTGGGGTACATCTGACACATTTGGCTTTTGATTTACACACAGAATAGCGCGCTATAAACGCCAGGTTATTGCCAGCTGCAGTGAGGAAATCTAACTCACAAATCTGCACATTTAGGCGTGTGCAAAAACTCAGTGGAGGAAAAATGTGAACAGACACTTTTGAATTATATATCATTCAGCTCTTATTGTAAGTATGGAATGTTTTAACAGTTTATCATAATATAAATTCTAAAACTATTGCTTTTTATTTTTTGGCATTTTATTTGAAAAGGTATAACGCAGACAATCTACTGATACATCTCTGGATGCCTCTTATGTTAAAAACCCCCATTTATATTACATACAAAAAAACTATGTTCTTAATTGGACGACTTTATCAACATTATAAGTCCTTAAATCGTGTAGACCTGGTTAAGATGGACCATAATTTTATATAATTTTGTTCATTTAATCCATCTGTCCATAAAAAACCAATCAAAATGAAATGTTGTGTTGTGTCTTCAGCACTCCAAACGAGAAGCTGCTGGGTCGCCTTGTGAAGGAGAAGGTAAAGAGGCGTTTGCAGTAAAAAAGCAGTAAACAAATTATTTATATATTTGCGTTTCTGTTTCCAGTACGACACAGACTTTTACGTGCTGGACAAGTATCCTCTCGCCGTCAGACCGTTCTACACCATGCCTGATCCCAGCAATCCTGTGAGTCACTGCGACATATGTGCTGTGAACGTTATGTAAATGAATCGAGAACTCTGTGCTTTGGCCCGAAGTTTACAGTGGGATTTACACAGATCCATATTGTGTGCTCAACAATCTGACCTCCAAACAGTTTGCTATGAAGTTATGTATTGATTGCAGAGGCTTTCTAGTGTGCTTTTTATTGACTGTACAAATAAATCAAAGTTAAGTTTAATTACAGGTTTGTCATTACAAGAATTTATTGTCAGTACAGCGGCTTGATTGGAGAGGTTGGTCTTTAAATGTCTTCATGCACGAGCTTCCTCCTTTAATAAAACATCAATCTTATTTAGTTGTTGCCCATTACATATTTACGATACGTGCCTGTTCTTTTGTTGGAATGCGTTGAACCGTGTGTGATTTGAATACTTGTTTATTTTGCCACAGAAATATTCAAACTCGTACGACATGTTCATGAGAGGAGAGGAGATTCTGTCTGGAGCTCAGAGAGTCCACGATGCTCAGCTGCTCACGGAGAGGGCCACGCACCACCAGATCGGTGAGTAGGACATGGACAAACCTTTTTACCTTTTTGAGAACCAAAAATAACTGATATGATCTATTCTATGGCTGCTGACTGAGGTTTCCAAAGTTTCCCTACATATATATAGTTTTTGATTCATGTTGTTTTTCTGCTCTCTTAAGCCTTTATTGATAAGGTCTCCCTATTTTCGTCTTAGGTCTCCTGTAGTAATTCATATCTCCCTCTGCTGGTCGGATCATATAAAAAAAAAAGTGGACTGCTGCATAATATTACATGTCTCTGCAGATGTAAGGACCAGATTTTAAAGCAGACCCACTTGTTACTAAGCCTTTATCACTTTTTGAAAAGGTTTTAAGTTTTAAGGTTTAAGCCACTCTAAAAAGGCTTAAACCTTAGATGCACTTTAATGTGATGTAATATAATGAATGTATATACTAGCAATAACAGCTTGTGCAGTCTCACATATATGCAAATTTGTTTGTCTGTGTTGTAATTATTATCCTATACTTGCGCTATTGCACTACGGGTTAGATGCTAAACTGCATTGTTCTGACTTTGTAATGACCATAAAGTTGAATCCAATATAATCTAATCTAAAATGTTCGCAGAGAATTAATAATATTTATTGACAGCCATACAATTCTAATTCCTTTCAAATCCCTTTTTCATTAACCCTGTTTGTTGTGTCCTTTCAGATCTGGAGAAGATTAAAGGTTATATTGATTCCTTCCGTTACGGAGCTCCACCCCACGGCGGCGGAGGCATCGGTAAACTTAACATTTACTCAAACAAGTGTTTACAACGGCCCTCTCCAGGGGTTTTGTGGCTGCAGGTATTCATTCCAACCAAACAGGGGCACACACAACACCACCCATGTCATCAAGAGCAGTCTAAACCTAATAACTTTTTATGAAATGGTTGGAAGCGTGTGTGCTCCTGCTTGGTTTGAATGAAAACCTGCAGCCACACAGCCCTTTGAGGATCGGTTTGAAGAATACTGGTTTAGAATGATCCCTGACTGCTCTGTTGGTCTTCCTCAGGTCTGGAGAGGGTCTGCATGCTGTACCTTGGTCTCCACAACGTTCGCCAAACCTCCATGTTCCCACGCGACCCTAAACGCCTCACGCCTTGAGTCGTTGCAGTCCGTGACAACTACTGGACAAACACACAAACGCTGGTGAAAGGAAACCATACTAGTCCACTACAATAGCAACAAGCTAGTGCCACCATTACTAACAGTGCCACTCAGTTAAATGAGAAAGTAAGCAGTTGAAATAATGTTTATTGGTTTGTATGATTGTCTTAACCACAATTACACATATTTTGATGAGAACAGGCAGATTAGGGTGATATAGTGACATAACAGCACTAGTTCGTTTACAAAAAAGTTGTTCGTTTTTTTTAATGGATGTGATGGAAGAGTTTGATCGGCAAAGAAGCAACGATGCTACCATTGTGGTCTCCAGCAGTATGCCTGTCATTGCAGGTTCTTTTTATATAATTCATTGACAAAAGGTTGCAATAACAATAATAATAAATAAAATAAATAAGAAACTGAACTTAAAGATTTCCTTTCTTACATTTTCTTGCATAACTATTTACACAGAGTTTGAAAACGCATTCACAGTTTCTCATATAAAAGGCTTTTGTCCATCAAAGTGCTTAAGTGTCATAACGCATATAAGTCATGTAATTAGTTAGTTATTCATGCTAACGTGTACACCTCAACAAGAATTGTGTGTCAATCGGTGGCCGCTCCACTGATTTGAAGGATAAAGAGGAAAATGTTGACCACGTCGATGTAAAGGGACAGCGCTCCGTAGACGTACTCCTCTGGGCTTATGGCGTGCTCCCGGTTCCCAATCAAAAGCTGTGTGTTGTACACCAAAAACTACAGCAGGGAAAGAGAAGGAGAAATGTAAAGTAAATCAAGTCAAAACGATGTATTCGGTGCAGCATTGTCCATGTTGTTTCTTGTGATTATTTTGATGTATTGTTGGCCCAGCAATCTGAATTCTAGGATGATAATTATGAGGAAACCCTTATCCTAAGGTGTCCAAACTGTTTTATATTTTTTTTAGGATTGGCCTTTTAGAGTGTGAAGGATTTCAGAATGAAAAATGTTGGACACAGCTAACATCTAGGCCTTTTTTAATACCAAAAAAGATATCCAACACACTTTTTAAATCAGTGAATTGAGGACTGATGTTGTTTTTGGCCTTTTTTGTCTTGAAGGTAATTGTAGACTCACCAGAGTGTAAACTATGGCTCCGATTGCAGCATAGAGCATGTGCAGCCAATGAATCTGTGGAGTGACGTAAAAAAAAATTATTCCCAGACACCCCCACTGTGCTTCAAAGATGAGAAGAAAGAATAAATGAAATTGACATTCAAAGTCTTACATATTGAAATGTTAGAACGACAGCGGTAACGATCCCTAGGATGGTGAGCAGAACGGCTGAAATACAGAGGAGGCCACCGCAGGAGGTGAAGTCCACCTGTGATGAGAAATTAACACCATGAAAGTGCAGCTCCAGACGAAGGGGAGAAAGTGCAGGTAATTTATACGGTAACAAGAGGATGTGCCGGATAACGACTTCAAAATCCCCCACTTTTCTGTGTACTCGGCGTGGGATCAGGATGATGAAAAAACAGCTTATTCATTGCCCTTTCCAATTTAGCAATACACTTTTATTGTAAAATGTTTCATGCGATGTTTCATGTCTGTTCCAAAGCAACAATAGCATTAAAATGGTTAAAGGCATGTACAGTTATACTTATCAAATTAATAATGTATAAAGGTGGAACCAGTGTCCAATTTGTTAATCATTTTAAAATGACGCATGTTGTGAGATGCAAAATATTTGAAAGCTTTCTCTCCAAGCTCAGGTCTTGTCTTTACATTGCATTATTTATGTATCCGTGCACAGCGGTGGGAAGCTTGTTACTATCTGTGCCCAGTGATACGTGACCAACAATTAGTCCAGACTCTTAATGGGCAATGTTGAAGTGTCTTACCTAAGGACGCTACAAGTACTGGCCTCTGAGAGCTGTGCATGAAATATAAAGGAAGGCGAGGAGCTTCCTGGTTTGCCCTGACCTCCCACTGTACTAAACCCTCATTAGGCCTGACATTTCCAACACTTCATCTCAGTAAGAAGAAAACTCCAGAGAAATTCATGATGATAACGGAAAACTCATCGTCCTCATGCAGCTGGATGGAGGACCAGGACAGTCACAGCTGATCCCTCCCCCTCTGAACAGGCTCACATGAAAGGCCATGATCTCAGTATGCTTTTGAATGAGAATTGATGTTAGATACTTTATCAAACTGAATGTATGTACTGGATTGATATGAAACAGCAAAGAAAAAATGTCTGTTTTCAGAAATGGACACCAAAGCTTCATGACTCTTGGCGCTACGCCATTGCATTAAAATAGCACTTTAGAATTCTCATTTTGTGTAGTGTAAAAGATGCATAGTGAGATTAAACAGTTGGAACTCTTTAGTTAATGGCCATTATAAAGCACTTCATAAAAGTTTAAATATAAAATGAACCACAACTAATTGAATATTTAATACTATGGTCCATGGCTGAGGCTTGATATGTATACACACACATATATAAGTCCTGGGGAACTTTTGGCACATAATGAATGCGAACATCTATAGCCCAAAACCACAGGAGGCTGCCAAGGTAATTTGATGAGAGAGGGGCATAAGACGGATAAGCTTTGAAACTGAAAATGTAACTTTCTCATGCTGGGTTACATCAGAGAGGGCGTTTATTCTGAAATGTGATGAATATTTAAACACCTCTGTGGCCCATTGTAACTCGAGACAAAGGAGTTCTTTTACACAAACGACAAACAGGCCTGGGATGAGTCACAAGTTCCCCCAAAAGAAAAGTGTTTTTAATCTCGAGGTGGTGCTTACCTTAGTTTGGAAGCAGAAGATTGTCACTGCCAAACAGACAATAGCTGTTATTACCATGGCGATGAACACTGCTTTGGTCTCGTAATAGCTGGAAAAACACACAACATGCATTTTAGAGATTGGAGAGTGCAAGAATCTGGAGGGGAACAGACCTTGCAATGCTTCCAGCCAAATAAGACAGGGCAACGGTCTAAAATGACAGATAAAATTCTGAAAAGAATTGCATGGTTTAAATGAATTAACCCCCTGAATTAAATGTACTCACAAATACTCCCAACAGCACAAAGTTCCAAGGAAACCGCCGCCTTGAAAAAAAAGGAAGAATATGACCTTGGAGCTAAGTCCTGCTTTAAACGTGTGTTGTGATTGGGCGACTTACCTTGGCTCTTTGCAGCAGACTAATATACAATAAACCACAAAATATATCACTCTTGAATAAAGAATACATGTTTAAAATGAATTGCTTTGAATCGAAGAGCAATTGTTATTTTGGATTTACAACTTACAGAGAAGCATAGTAGACGGCAGGGTAGTTTATGACAAACTGCTTCACTGGTTCACTGTGGGGAAATCAAAATATTATGATTGTGCTCTTAAAATACATAGAGGAAAAATGAATAAAGAAATATACTTACACAAATGTAAAAACGGCCACGACTGAAAATGTGATGGAAAGTTGCACTGACAATATTAGATAAACCTGTCCATAAAAGTGACAAATACAAAATTGTCATCACCATCTAATGCATTACAGGAAATACATGTAAACATTACCTTTCTGATAAATGCATGTCTGACTGAAGTGCTCTCAAACTGGTTACTCAGAAAATCATCTATTTCTCCTGTAAAATGTATGACAAGTCATTAAAATGTAAGCGCAATCTAGTTACAACTTTCAACGCAACATGTGTCCAAATATTATGTTTTGTCACTTCTAAATATTACATGATTTTAGTCCCAACAGAAAGAATCAGAAAGAGTTCTTGTAAAACCAAAATTTTGTAAATAAATCAGCCCACAACATTCTGTCTTCATTGTGTAAAAAATCATCTCACTGAATACTTGTGAGCCCTGTGAGTCACTAGGAGGATTTTGGCTGAAAGCTGATTGGCTGAATCGCTTTTCTGTTGGAAAGGGTTCATCCAAACATAAGAGAGCTAGACTAAGGGTTTTCATTCCAACCAAACAGGAGCACACCAGACTCCACCCAATTCTTCAAGTCAAGATTAAAGGTGAGTCTGGTGTGCTCCTGTTTGTTTGGAATGAAAACCTGCAGCCCCACCAGTCCTTTGAAAACCCCTGCCTTAGATATTCCAGGTGCATATAATGAAATAAATAGATATATACCGTACTTCTATTAAAATGTTTACTAAACCCCATAAAAGCAGCATACCTGAGGCGGAGGATGGCACTCCACCAGACAGTGTGGGAATTGCCCCAGATGGACCAAAGCCAGGGCCCATCCACATTCCAGGAGGTGGGTAATCCCCTGTTTGGCCCCAGCTGATGTGAGGGCCAGGGGTGTAGGAGGGTGGAGGAGGGAGTGGCCCGTCCCGCTGCATGGATTCTGGGAGGTTGGCATCTTTAGGCTGAGCCACAGCGTCTTCATACGTTGGAGGGCTGTCGTCTTTGGGCATTGTTACCGGTCCACCTTCAATATAAACATAAAGCTATCATGTTCTTATTTGATCTTTGCAGATGCAAAGTGTCCATCCATTAAACATTAAAATCCCAAAATAAGTATCACAAGCATAAATAATCACATTACATATACAGCTAAAGAGAACTGTTTTAGATTTAGTAGATTCAGATTCATTTGAGATTTATTCTATTTTCCATCTTCTGTAAAAAAACAAAACACAAAACACAGATTGGAATACAAATGCTAAAGTCCCCAATGTGCACCAGTTAAAGATCCATGAAGGGCTTTGTTCAAATTAATAACATCTTACATTGTCAGGAAGACTGTTCCAGATTTTAGCTGCATAAATCTGAAACACTGACTCCCCATGTTTGGCCCTGGCTCTGGGCACCAGCAGGAGGCCAGTCCCTGTGCTCCTCAGAGTCCCAGCAGGAGGCCAGTCCCTGTGCTCCTCAGAGTCCCAGCAGGAGGCCAGTCCCTGTGCTCCTCAGAGTCCCAGCAGGAGGCCAGTCCCTGTGCTCCTCAGAGTCACAGCAGGAGGCCAGTCCCTGTGCTCCTCAGAGTCACAGCAGGAGGCCAGTCCCTGTGCTCCTCAGAGTCACAGCAGGAGGCCAGTCCCTGTGCTCCTCAGAGTCCCAGCAGGAGGCCAGTCCCTGTGCTCAGAGTCCCAGCATGAGGCCAGTCCCTGTGCTCCTCAGAGTCTGAATTTGTTCATATCACAAATGTACTTATACACAAGCAGAGCAGCATTCATGTATTTTCTGGTATTTTATTTATATAGTGTGTTTTGGAAAGATTTTACATGGTGCGGTGGTGATATAAGTACCTGTGGCCACAGCTGCCATGGGGCACACTGGCCAAAAAATAAGAATAAAATGTACTTCTAAGAAAGAGCCAAATCTGACGGATCAAATTCCTAAAGCATTTCTGCACCTGACAAATAATTAATGAACGCTAATGGATATACAAGGAATCAAACGAGAAAATAGTTAACAATAGTTTTCTGTATGAAAGTTTTTACAATCTTATTTATTACTGTCTGTTCCACAGAGGTTTTCATTTCCAATTCCACAAATCCATTTCAATTATCAATAAATGATAAGCTGCATGCGTTGGTGTTGTCATATCCTCATTTGAGCCTTATGCATCTTAAAATGGTAACATACAATTACAGACGGTTAATTAAATGTATCAACAATTATTGTTGTCACAACATGAACATGTTAACTCAACTGTGATGCTTATGAAGAGACCTCTTATTTTAGGGGACAATATACAAAAGCATTGTGCATATTTCTTCAACAATTATACAACAGTATTTTATATGGAGTATTGATGATGTTGATCCTTTTGACAGCCCGTTTCAAGATGATTAATGTATTTGACACATGCACTTTACTTTGTTGCCACTTATAGTCATATAGTCCGGCAAATCGTTCCACTATTGAAATGCTCCAGTCTTGTGTTATACAACAAAAATAGACAGTCACATACAAGCTTCCATAAAACCACCAATTTATTATAAAACCCATATTTCCTCTTACCTGGTGCTTCAGCTGGTGGATCCCTGCGTCGCTGCTGTTTGTGGCAGTGAACTGGAGCAGTCTCTGTAACAGGAGCCAAGCCCTGAAACTCACACTGTTTCTAGTATGTCCTGGAACAGAAGGTCTCCCAGTTCCCTCCCGCTGCAAATTAAGCGGCGAGAAAATGATGTTATTGATGAGTTTTAATGGTCATTGTCTTTTTGTGTCACTAAAAGATGGAAAGAGTCTTGCAATAACCGATACAAAAAATGAAGATAATATGATTTCATACTAATATTATATTGACATCTCTATTACATTTGAAAATGGCCACATGTGCTATGGTATTGGCAACTCTTATTATACAATTTGAAGAGCACAGAAGACATTGAAAAGAGAGTTGATGTTATACACAACATTTATACAGTATATAAAGCTATAATCCAAAGAAGGTTTCCATGGTGTTCATTGTTGTATTTATAGGGAATAGATTCAAATCGGTTAAATAAAGCACACAAATGGTTTATTCAGCCATTTTCATAGTGTGTAGGTAAACACACTTGTTCAGTCTAACAAGATCTTTTTTGAGAAAAAGGCCACGCACACCCCAGCAGACTCATGCCACATTCAATCCAATTGTCTTTAAAAAAATAATATTATTTTCTTTTTACATATAATATACATATATACAGAATACAGACATTCAACTTATATCTTTTCTCAATCCAAAACATTCCACTTGTACGTGTCCTATGGCTGCGTCATTTTTACGTCATTACGCACGTGGCTTCACGGCGATGGCGCTTCCTGAATATGTGACAACACTCGCAGCCTCCGCATCCTTCTTTCTGCTGGTGTTTTTATGTATTCGCTTTCGCCGTAAGCTTCAAGTGACCGGGAGGAGATATCTGCGCAGTGTCATGGCGCGGACAGAGAAGCCGCTCTTCCGGATTGCGTGAGTGTCTTTTCTGTACGATGTGTATTTTTGGGTAAACTGTACAGTCTTTGGTTTATCTGCAGAGACACGGAGGGGGCGGGCTCTACGGCTTAAGCTGCCACTCACAACAACATGGCTCCGTGTGTGATTTGTACATGTTTAACAGAACTCGTTATTACAGTCTAGTCCACCGAATAACACAAATAAAGCGTTATTCTCAAAGGGAAATTCGTTTGTGACAGTTTTAAAGTGGCTGTGTGGTCAAACTAACACATGAGCGTGTGCAGGAGCCATGGATCTATAATAACATGAGAGCCCGCCCCCTCTCTGTCCCTCTTATAGCACATAATGGGTTACTTATTAAAATACACATGTCATTCAAACTTATCTTTGTCTATGTGTTCATGCAGATACACACTGTATACAAGAACCAGGCTGGGTTACTTCTACTACAAGAGACAAATGAGGAAAGCCCGGGAGCTGTACCCATCTGGACATTCCTCCACTCAGCCAATGGAGTTCAATGGTATGTGGGATATCAAACATGCACATGAGACTCTGTGAGCTTGTGTTGTATCTCATAGGAACATGACGTGATAAGAGTAGTGCATTTCTCTTTCTTCAGGTATCAAAATAATTCCCATCTCAGTGCTGTCTGACAACTACAGCTATCTCCTTATCGACACGGCTTCGAGTGTTGCAGTGGTAGTGGATCCTGCGGACCCTCAGTCAGTTCAAGTGAGATACAAGACAAAATCTTGACTATGCTATTTAGATATGTTATAATAACACCACCGGAAGTATTAATATAAATGTATTGTGAGTCTGATAATTGAGGTTTGGTGAAGAAGGAGCATCAAAGTTGGTCTTTACAAAGTGCATCACAAAGACAATTACTCCATACAGGATTTTACTATGCTTTGAAGCTCCATGGAAGTGCATTCTTGGCCACATTACATTGGCCACTACATTATAAAGTTATGGTGATTGGATCATGTTGGGTTATTTGCATCAAATGAATCTTTGTGAATGTGACATTTGTTAATTTTAAATAAGGCAGGTTCTCAGCATATTAGTGTTCTGTTGCTAACCAGTAGCTCGCCAGCCCCTTACAGGTAGCTTGCCAAAGAAATTAGACTTTAACAAATACACTTAAACGAATACTTTTTGACCCATTACATATCTATTATAAGTATAAATATAGGGTTATACAGTAATATGGTGTATTTTATGTGTTCTCAAGTTTAGTCGTAACTATTAGATCCATTTTCATTATGACTGCAAAAATGAGTAGCTCTGTGCCTTTTTGTTTGTATAAAAGTAGCTCTCTGATTAAAAAAGGTTGGAGACCCCTGCACTAAAGGGTTGTGTTCAAATGTAAATCTGAGTTTTTACACATCTCACTTTTCAGGCAGTTCTTGAACAAGAAGGAGTGCTGCTCGAGGCTATACTGTGCACACACAAGCACTGGTAAGTCAGTCATTGCATGCATTTGTTGAGAAAAACTATGATGAAGTGATTCTTTGAACTCTGTCAGGTTCTGCCAGACATCTCTTAGAGAAATTCAATCAAATGTGTTCTTGTATCACCCTAAATCACAACAGCAGTTATCTCGGGTGACTTTACAAAACCGTTAAATTTGCCAACACAGATCAGAGAATCAAACGGTCCAACAGTTGTTGAGAAAATGTTACAAGTTACTCTTTAAATGATCTATTGTCCAGTTTGTGTTTTACATTTCCAGGGACCACAGTGGAGGAAACAAAGTGTTGAAGCGGCTCCACAGCTCGTGCCGCGTGTATGGAAGTGCAGTTGATAACGTCCCTGGACTCACACAGTACGTCTCCTCTCACACTGTTCACATTCCACAGTCTGTCATCACAAGACTTCACACCACGTTATCAAATGATCATATCTGCAGCTGACGACAAGCTGTGGCCCACAGGCAAGTCACGAACCAAGTGTGTCTCCATTTCATTCTGTTCTGTATTGGGTAAAGTCCAATGACCTCACATTGTTCTAACTTGAATAATGCTCGTTTGAAAATGCACACACACAAACCATATTCCAGCTAATTATTAGACCAATGAAGTGACATTTTGAGAGAGTCATAATGTTTTCATATAACAATGCACTAAGCTGCTTTGGTATTTCGATTGTTTGTTGAAACTCTGAAAGTTAGAATATTGTTCAGAACTCATGACATGAAAACTTAGTCTGTTTTTGAGGATGTTTAATTTGTTTTTTTTTGCAAAGGGATGTGAGCCACAATTTTAATTGGTTATTTTAACAAAGGGTTGATTGAATGGTATTGAACCTGGCTCAAAGTTCTTGCCTCTCTGCCTATATGACTTGTATAAAAGGATCTGGTGATGGCACTTGCTTGTTTCTAATGTAGATAGAATTATGTTCAATTCTTTACTGTGGAACATTCCAGAAAATAATAACATTTATGCACTCAACATGTTGAATAAATGTGTAAAAGGGTTATTTAGCAGGTTGGTCTTCGCACTCGCATACACTGCCTGTTTGCATAAATAATTTTGTTTGTACTTTCAGTCCTCTCTCACATAAGGACACGGTGGACGTTGGGCGGTTGCACTTCAAGGCCCTGTTCACCCCGGGTCACACTGTTGGTCACATGATCTACCTCCTGGACGGCAGAGCGGTCGGAGCGCCCTGCAGCCTCTTTTCTGGGGACTTGGTGTTTTTGTCCGGATGCGGTACGTAGAGAAAAGTAGTCATATATTAGTCATTTTTTTCTTCTTCTTTATAGAAGGAGGAGTGCTTTTAAAAAATATTGGTTTAGCCATATTTTAGAACTGGTTTTAGATGATTATAAACCAAATATCATCTGAAAAGTGTATATAGAGCTTTAGTTTTAACTGTAACTTTCCCACATGGCCATTCAGATATTTTACCAAAACTGTTTAAAAGAGATTCAGATGGGGCAATGAATTGAAAATGAGCTCTTACCACAATCTGGTGTGCTTACAGTATAATTATCACTCAATTTGTATTATTATTATTATTATCATTATTACTCTTTTGTTTCAGACAAATGGTCCATAGAAATAAAAACTATTTAAAAGATTGGACACAAAAGATACATGATAAATACCCAAATATCGGATGGGAACAGCCACATTCACAAACATTTGGCTCGCACTGGTCCACCGCGGGACCCCCAGCAGCATCCTCATGCCTTCGTTATCGGCCACTTTCAGTTTGTGCGTGCTGCTATTCTTAGAGTGTTTATGAAGGCATTCGGCACTGTCTGTAAATGTCTCTGTCAACAGACAAAGAAGCAGAGATGTAAGGTCACAGATATTTGCTAAACATTTATGTTGAGCCATTTCTTACATAAACAATAATCCATTTAGAAGGAAATTGAAATCAGTGAAAAAAAAATAACATATGGTCTTTGACTTCCTCACACCATTGCAAAAAAAATGATTTAATCTGCATATTAGTTTGATTTATACAATTAGGTATAATTGAGTAACTGGGAAATTCATTTTGCTTACAAATGTTTCTCCAAATGACTACTGCATTGATGTAGCAACAAAGCAGATCTAATTTCATACTTGTGTCCGTCTGTGTGATCTCAGGGCGAACGTTTGAAGGCACGGCCACCACCATGCTGTCATCGCTGGATACTGTGAGCTCTTTAAGCGACGATACCCTGATGTGGCCTGGTTTGTGTCTCTGTCCAGATAGTTTTATATGAGATAAAAGCCTCCCTGGGTCTGCTGCATTTTCATTCTGTACGTTATCCTCCCGCCCTCAGGCCACGAGTATGCAGAGGACAACCTGCTGTTTGCCACTGAGATGGAGCCACAGAACCTGGTCCGGGAAAACAAGTATCAGTGGGTGCTGCAGCAGAGAGGACAGAAGCTGTGCACGGTGAGAATGTTAGAATCATTACACCAACTTATCCTTCAATGTACAGTGTGATAGTTAGGGCTTAAAATGAGTCAATTTTTCCAACTTTTTTTGCCATTTGCGTTGTTCAATCTCAGCTGAAGAGAGCTCATACAGCCAATACATTTTAGTCCATCCACACGAGTCTTAGGAACTTCTGGCACAAGTTGAAACAAACATGTCCCCCACCCCATCAAACAAACTATTGGTTTTCCAACACTGATGAATCTTCAGACTGCAACATCCTGGAAAACAGGTGTTGCCTTCAAATAAGTATTTTCTGTTAAATTGCATTCTTTACAATTATATGCCTTCAATAATTGTTGAAAATTTTAAAAGCAGAATGTAACATTACCTTTTTAAAATAAAATGCCAAAGCATATTTTATATTGCTTAATTCTGCCGGACAATTCTCCAGTTCTGTTCACACCATGATAAAGAGTTTTAAATATACTGAGATTATCCTGCTATGTTCTCATTTTGTCAAGTGGCCTAAAGCAGCCTCTCTATTATAGTTTATCATAAAAAGCAACACAATGTGACACAATGGTGTGAGTGTCTGCTTTTTCAGCAGGACTAAGAGTGTTCATGATGGCTTTTGTTTGGAGCTTATCACCGCAGACCGTCTGCACCATGTGCGGCTTCTGTTCTGTTTGTAACCGGCTGTTTGTGACAATAGTTCTGGTCACATGCGGAAATGATTTCAAAAACAGTTTTACATGAAAAACTGATATTACGTTAGCCTTTGTAATAGTGTCTTATTTACCCATCATTTGAATAAATATGTATTAAGATTAAGAGCTCCTTTATTTGTCCCACAGTGTGGACATTTCAGTGTTACTGTACATTAGGAATGAGGAGCACACAGCACAGCATAAATGAATAACTCAAACTCAACAATAATACTAAAATTTAACATCTCTAGCTTTGGCATTGTAAAGAAGCATGTATAATACTGTATATTCTAGTTCCAGAAATAGTTGTATGTATGTACAGTAAGTATGTATACATCTATAAATGTCAGCAGCATGAGGGTCCGGGACAAAGGGACTATATGTGAATATATGACTGGTATATTATTTATAATTTAACCACAGCGGCTGAAAGTTATGAATTCAAAGTGGAGGAGAGTTAGAGCCTCTAGAGATGAACTGCTTTAAAAGAATTTCATAACATTCTTTCTCAATGTCTGCTTTATAAACACCTCAGTTCCCTTTAACCTTCAGAGTGGATTAGGTAAAAATGCCAAAGACAAATGTTCTTTCCAGAATGTACTTTATTATAGATGTTTTATGAACAATTGTTACATGTTAGTACCATCACAGCTAAAACCTCTCAGACCCAAAATGATAACAAAGGCTTTGTATATGTCACCTTACATTTAATGGGGCTAAATATTATGTTGAATTGCAGAAATAAATGCACTTTTGAACAATAGTCTAATTTGTTATATATATTATTCTGTCTTCAATATTCTAAGTTTCACCTGTAAGTGCAACATGTGCCTGTACAAGAGTCAAACCATTCTCCACCCATTTGTCTCATTTAGTAGAACAATAACAAGTCCGTATCAACAATATCATTATTCTTTTGACTCACCAGTGCCCTTCCACAATCGGAGAGGAGAAAGACTACAACCCTTTCCTCAGGACGCACACGACAGACCTGCACCGGGCCTTGGGTTTACAGCAGCAGGAGGACGAAGACTGGACCCCATTCAGAGCCAGAGTCTTGGAGGAGCTACGCAAACGAAAAGACCTCTACAACAGAAGATAATCCTTCACATTTAAGACTGGCTTCCTCCTCCTTAGATTAAAAAGGGTCAGAACACAGTTTGTGAGATTGCTCGAGTCCACCACTAGATGGCGATCTTTTTATAGGTGATACTAGCACCTCTCCTACCCTATACTATGGACATTATCATTTGTTAATGTGACAATCCTTGTAGCTTTGGAGGTACAGATTTGTTTGTTTGTTTTAATTGAATATTGGTACTATTACTTTGCCTTCAGACTTGAAATATGAAAATAATGCTAGTTGGGTGGGCCATAACTTTGAGACAATCTGGTTTTCCCATTTTACAGTATATTTTTGCACACATTTTCTCATCAACGCCATTCACACTTCTATTTTTGAATTCATGTGACTGAATAGATGGTGGTTTGAGGACACGTGAAGAGATTCCTAAACTTATTATAGATTACATATGTATTTGAATTCCATAGGTTTTGAAAAGTCAAATGTGAATTATTGTGAGTTTAATAAGGGAATACCAATGTTGTTAACCAAATAAATGTGCCGTTTTGTACTTGAAAGGATGTGAAAACTGTGACAATGAGGGAGAATATTTAGCAAATACAGACACACCTATTACGCGCATTTACATTTGGTGCTTAGAGTGTGTCTGACAGGCAAGTCTGAACGGTGGAATGAGCCAAAATGCTAATAAACACGACTTTAAACTTTTTGGGAACGATTTAAAGTGCGACTTGTAGCAAAGCACCTTATCCCCTGCTGATTGTTGACTGAAATACTCCACAAAAAAGATGCTTGTGATTTGCATCTCATTTGCATCCGTTTGAGTTCCAGTTGCCTCCACATGGGGAAACCGTCTCACTTCAGGTTACGTTTTAATGAGTGAATTTGAAAGCCAACTCCTCCATTTGAGCTGTGTTTGTTGTGTTCAAAGGAGACAGATTTGTTCTCACTCCATTCTTTGTGCATCGTCAACCCGATATGTACCTACTTTATCCATGTGAAAACTGTTTCAAATGCAAAGGTAAAAATGAATAAATGGAATAGTCAAACATGTCAAATGCTTTTTTTTGTCAACATATACCTTGAACTGGGGATGTGAAGATTATCAGGGTCAAATTTATCTGTAATTGTGAGAACTAAAGGTGGGCTGTCTAAGTTTCTAAATCTTTTTGGCTCAACGGAAAACTTTTTATCCTTTTCCCACTTCACGTTGTGAGCTGAGAGCAGATTGGCTGAGCTAGGGTGGTCCTCCTTTTTCACTATTTTGTGGTGATCTAAAGATGTGACACAGAACAAAAGAAACGTGAAATCTTGTGGTTGAATCATGCTGTTGAGGGCAAGAAACTTGTTAAATTGATTTGAATACATATTGTGTCTGCTACTCCTCAATGATGAAATAATCACTGCAGTTTCACAAGGTGATTGTGTCATTTCCACAAGTCTATTTAAAACTCCATCTTTGTAAGTGGTATTAACATTGGATTTCAGAAAGTGGGTCACATACATGCACTAGAATGGTTGATTCTCATTTCAAGTGTGAAATTGCATTTTTTGATGTAAACTTCAGGGGCCGTATTCCTAAAGATTCTAAGAGTCCTCTCAGAGAGCTCCTATCTTACCCTAAAAACTCCTAGCTAGGAGTCTTAGCTTAAAAGTTATTCCAGAACACTCTTAGAGAACTTTGAGCAAGGAATTGACAACAACTTTTATCTTAGTGAGGAGGCGTGGCCGACCCCGTTGCTAGGTATGAGTCATCATTTCAGACGCTGTGATTGGTTCATCTTAAAAGTTAGTAAAAACATATTTTTGATGATAATGGGCAAAATAAGGGCCCTAAAATGGACAAACTCAATCATGGAATCTAATCTTAGGAATACTGTGTTATTGTAAATAATAACCAAACGCTATAAAGTCAGATATATCAATGGTGCATAAATACTGTGAATAGTAAGATAGACTTTTACACCACATCATCAGAGCTTGCTCAGCACCAATTTCTAACAAATACATAGTACGTATATATCATGAGCACTTATAATTTTATATTATATATATATATATATATATAATATATATATTTATGTATATATACATACAATTTAAATATTACTCTATATATAATATACATGAAAAAGAAAATTATTATAATAAATATTATATGGATAAATGATGATAGTGATAACGTTAGGATTAGTAAAGGCTGTGATACTGACAGACGTATAAGGCATTAAGGAAACAATATTAATACAAACATATTATACATACAATGTACAAATCAAGTACAAGGGAGTTTAAAAGTCTTAACCTCTCTCACTCCTTTTTGAGCTGGATTGTTGTTAATAAAACAAAACTGTGTATTTGTACTTCTATTCTGTTGTTGTTTTGTTTGTTTTTGTCCTTTTTTCTTGTTTGCCAAAATAAAGTATTCATTCATTCGTACTGAATGTGTGAAAATGTAGGCCCACTTGTACAGTATTAACGCAATAATAGTTACATTTACTTGCTTTTATTATTACCATGCTGGTTATTTTCTCTCTTTCAACTTTCACCATTTCTACCTACTTTTGTGTAACAAGGGTAAAATGGATGAGTTGTTATTGCTGACCAGCCTATAAGAAGCTGGTCACATGATTGACTTTTAAATATTACAGAAGCATAATTCCTGCTCGACTCAATCTGTAGCGTTTCACTGATTCACTGTCATCCAGTGTATAGAATATTTCTCCTGTCTCCACCGTCCACCATTTTGAGCTCTTAGGGAACTTTTAAGTCGCTAAAAGTCCACCTCTCAACTCTTAAGGGATCTCCTCTTAGGAGCACTCTTAAGAGCTAGGATTCTTTAGGAATAGCTTTTATCTTAACTAGGAGCTACTCGTCACTTTTAGGGGAAATTCTAAGAGTTGGTCAAGATTCTAAGAAAATTCTTAGAATTTGGCCACTAGGAGCAACTTTTAGCACTAAGAATCTTTAGGAATACGGCCCCAGTTCTTGAACTTTACATTAAGCAAAAACACATACAAAATATTAGACCATGAGTGCCTTGGATTTTTTTGACATTCTAGGCTCTTCATAATTTGCCTTTACCTGGAAAGTCATGACTCTTTTGTTACTACAATAACATTAAAAAACATTTAAATAAATAAAAAATCCAGTGTTGTTGAAGATTTGTAAACAAAAGAAAACATTTTAACATGATATAATTACATCCCTTCTGTAGCCGTGCTAACACCAGACTACACATTCCCAAGTTATCCCGTCTGTGAAATAATCTAAATTTGGGCTTCAATAAACTATTGACTTGTTAAGAATCTCTTTCCCATTCCAGTCTGACAAGCTTTTCAATGACTGCATTTTAAGCTAAAGATACGAAAATCTTTTATTTGTCTGATAAAGGGGAATTTGCTGATAAAATACAATCAAGGGACAAAAACAAGGCACAGAACAGGTAAAACTTACAGCAGTTCCATTTAGAACTACAATATTATATCCATTGTTGTGCTCCATGAGAAAAACTAAATCTAAACACAATTACAATAAAACTATTCGCTTCTTCTTCAATGTTTGTAAAGCATGTATAGGTTCCAGGCGACTTTCAGACCACTAACAGCTTTAAGGCGGCTGGCTGGTGTGAGTCAGCACGTGTCTCTTGTGCGAGGACCAATCTGTGAACCTTTTATGACAAACTGAACAGCTGAAAGGTGTTTCCCCTGTATGTGTTCGCCGGTGGACATTCAAAGCACTCTTCTGGACAAATGTTTTGTCACAGACTGAACAGCTGTAAGGTCGCTCCCCTGTGTGAATCCTCATGTGCACGTTCAGGTGACCCCGCTGTGTGAATGTTTTATTGCAAATAGCACAAGTATTATTGCGTTTCACGCTTGTGTGGACGAGTCTGTGTTTTCTTAACGCAAATAAAGTTTTAAATGTTTCTCTGCATATAGAACATTCAACATTTCTCTTTCCGCTCCTGTTTTCGTCCATGAGAATACCACTAGTTTCAGGGGGATATGTGTTACTGGTGCCTCGAGCAGAGTTGTGTGCAATCTGTGCTGTGGAGCTGTGGACTGAAGGGTCACTATCACTTTGTCCATACTCTGAGTACACATATCCATGAGGGTTTGAGCTTGAGTTGGCTCTTCTCGTGTCCTCTCCCTGTGGATCTTTAAGCTCAGTTTGTGTGTGTTGTAAAGGCATCTGCTCTTCACTCTCCACATAACAAACAGTGAACTCTGGGAACTGCCCCTCCTCCTCTTTGATGCTTTCCTCCAGTGGTTCCTCCTTAATCTGTGGGACAGAGAGTAATCAAAGGTTTTCCCCATGTTGGATTAGTGATGTAACTAACAATTATGTTTTTGGTAAATTGACTTGTTCAGAATCTCTAATTCCACTCTGACAAGATTTCCTTTTGAGCTTTAATGAGATTACTTTTTGCCCACTGTGGGGACATTACTGAGAAAGCAAAATGGAAAAAAGGAGAAAGCAACTCAAGAATGATGAATGATACAGAATTCTGCACTTTTATTACCGAACACTGTAACGGCTGGATCTAGAATAAAACAACCATGGTAGTACTCCAAACAGAAAATTAAACCCAAACATACTGGCCCTCATTTATGAAACGTGCGCAGAAAAGGGTGTACATTTTGGCTGTATATTCTAAATACGCAATATCCAACGCAGGATTAATGAACGCGTGAGATCCGCCCAGACCTGAGCGTACGCACAGCGGCTGTTGATAAATGCTACACATAGCACCAGCCCCTCACTGATATTGACAGATATATTGGACCAATAGTTAAAATGTATTAATTTATGCGTTCAGCAGCCCATAAAAGAAGTGCTAAGGAGCTCAGGGGAGGACCGCCAGACAAAAGCATCCAAAAGAAAATATTAAGAATTAAAATTATCTTCAAATTATGTATGTGATTATTATTTTAAAATGGTTGAATGAGAGCCGAAGGCACTGCTGGCCATGGTCTCTCATCCATGGGCTGCTCCACCAGTGCATCCTCACACCGTGGTCCTGTGCCTGTTGTAGAGAACCGAGCCAGGACCATGTGGCACACTTGTACCAGTAGGTACCAGAGCGTACCCACTGCGTGTCCCAGTGTCATCTTTCTCTGATTAGACCCGCACAGCCTCCACGGTGGTGCACGTCTTTGCTTGGACCCACATGAACCCATTGCCGTTGCACACTGATTGTAGGTGCTACACATACAACAATTTTGTTTTGAGTTTGAAATCCTGCACATCATTTAGTAACACAAACTATCGAACCTAGCATATTTGGTAAAATTGCATATTTGTAATTTTATGGGCATGCCTATAATTTTGCCAGAGTGGGAATATGTTTAGAATTGTCCAAATCTTGAATTTTATGCTTGTTATTGCGTGTTGAAATAAAGGTTGAGATGGATGTAAAATGTACTCCGCCTGTACGCTCACTTCCAGATTGATAAATGCCGACAGGTTTTTTGCGAACGCCTCATTTACACCCTTATTTGGCCGTACGTAAGTTTCATAAATGAGGGCCAATGAGACTATTTACTTATACAGGTTCTACTGTTGTAAAGGTGTCTTTTAAGATTACTATTTGAGGAAAAGCTTGTCCCACAAATCAAACAGCTGTAAGGCTGTTCTCGTGTGTGAACTCGCATATGTCTAATGCGGGAGGAGCTTTCTTTGAACTTTCTGTGACAGATTGAACACCCGTAAGGTTTTTCACCGGTGTGTATTCTCTCATGGATGTCCAAAGCACTCTTTTGGGTAAATGATTTATGACAAACTGAACAGCTGTAAGGTCGCTCTCCTGTGTGAATCCTCATGTGTGTTTTCAGATAATATGGCTTTGAAAATATCTTATTACAAACAAAACAAATATTACTGGGATTCTCGTCTTTGTGAATTGTTTTGTGCTCTGATAAGGCACTTAGACTTTTAAATGCCATTCTGCAAACAAAACATTGAAATGGTTTCTTTACCCTCACACTTGACATGTTTTCGTCCATGGGAATACCACTAGTTTCAGGGGCAGACGTGTGACTGGTGCCTTGAGCAGAGTAGTGTGCAGCTGCGTTTCTGTATTTTGTCTGGATTTTGTTGGAGTGGTCATCTTCCTCAACAGTAAAAGTGTTGTGTTGTGTTGTTGAGCTGTGGGCTGAAGGGTCACTATCACTTTGTCCATACTCTGAGTACACATATCCATGAGGGTTTGAGCTTGAGTTGGCTCTTCTCTTGTCTTCCCCCTGTGGATCTTTGGGCTCAGGTTGTGTATGTCGTAAAGACGTCTGCTCTTCACTCTCCACATAACAAACAGTGAACTCTGGGAACTGCCCCTCCTCCTGCTTGATGCTTTTCTCCAATGGTTCCTCCTTAACCTGGGGGACAGAGAGTAATCAAAGCTTGTATCCAAGTCAGGTATCTCTCTATGTACGACATTGTTTTTTGTTGTTGTTGAGAAATGAGGACAACTTGCAGTCATCGTTTAAAGATGCGGGTTGTAGTTTTTCCTTTTACTGGTATCCAACCTTTGTTGGCAGTGCATGTCACATATGCATAGTCATGTATGATAATTTTAACATTTTAAAAAGTCTATTGAAAAAGCTGTAAAACAAAATACACTCATCTTCGACTTGTCAAAAGCGATCTATAAACTGCTGTGAAAATATTAAATTCAGAGTCAAGTAAGTAAGTGAGCGTTATTGCCATCTCTGAGTTATTTAACAGAAAACAACCCTAAAATTGGAGACGAGAAAATTCTCAGTCTCATAGTAAACATATACACACATTACATTATATATATATGCACATTATATTATTGTATATATTACAGGTCCCAAGTATGAAGGGAACACAAAGAATTCAATTGAATTAAAATATTACGTACAGTCCCTTTAATAGTAAAACAGTTCTACTTATAACTTAGAGGTGATTCTGATGCTCATCTTGTAAAATGAATTTTAAATGTGTGACACTACTTATCTTTACGCGTTCGAATCATGGTGGATAAGATAAACATGGAATTATTCATTGAACACGTAACATTCATGATAAAACATACAGGCATTTTCTTATTTAAAGAGTAATATTTGATTCAAACCCACCTGTGTGTGCGGGGTCTCTGAGGGTTCTTTCTTCTGACTGAGACACTCGGTCTGGACCTCTGCTGCATCTGGTCCTAGGACATGGTCCAGGACCGGAGCGTGGACCTCTGCTGAGGGCCCCGGGGCTTGTGATCTTAACACCAGGTCCAGGAGCTGCTGTTTCCTCCTGTTCTCTTCTTTGAAGCGACACAGCTCCTCTTCATACTCTGTTATTGTTCTTTCCACCAGCACAAAGATCTCATTAGCAGCTGCTGCCAGTCTCTCATTCACAAAACCTCTCAGCGTTTGTCTTTTGGACATTTTAACCACGTTCTTGAAGCTCCGTCATTCGTTTCAACACTTGCAGAGATGTGATGTGTGAGAAAAGCACTGGTGGAGAAAAGAGAAAACATTTGTCTTGATGTCTTCCGGGTACATTTTTTTTTTCTTTCGTAGGTCTTCCAAGAATATGCTGCAAAGCGTGTCATGTCTTAACCATAACTAAATTAACTAATACGAATTTAAATGTGAGTGATGTGTAATAGAGTTAATTTTTCTGTTGTAACATGGATTAAAATCATAAACTGAAATAATAATTTGTACAATCACAGGCTAAACTGAGCTGGGGAAAATATTAAGCCCCGCCCCTTTGGTTTGAACCGGAAGTTTTCCTCCGGCACGAGCTCGACTGTCAACAGCTGTCACAAATTCTGTTGAGTCAAGATGTTGAAAGCTGTGGTTTTAATCGGCGGTCCACAAAAGGGTAAAACTTGAGTCTTTCATATTTAGTTGTTGTTTTGTGTTGGTTGAGAACTTTGACATCGAACGGGGCTGCTCTCTCCACACCTCCCCCTGCTCTGCTAAACACTGACGTGGCATCAGTCAGCTGGTGGACAAACAAAACAAAGGATGCGTGCAATGCTATTCCATGTTATTTTTTGTTTTTCCTTGACCACTCATACTGACCCTTTATACATGATGCCTACAGTATTTATAGATTGGTCTATTCGCAAATGTAAATGATTTCAGTGACTAATCTGTTCAGACGTCCCTGCTAAGCCACAATCCCACTTCTCGTTCCTCCATGAAATAGTTTATGTTACTGCCCTGACGAATACTGACGTACAGTTTTCAGAGGGCCTCCTTCTCCATTTCTTTCATTGCAATTGTTTATGTTATGTTTATGTATTATCATTCCGCTGACTGATCCAGAACCATTGTCATGTTATTATTTCTTGTAGAGCTCTTTGTAAAGCTCTATGTAAATCAATTAATTATAAATAATCAATCATTGTAATAGTTTTCAATTCATTCAATCTAATCACTGGTACTGTACTGATTTAAAAATACCATTAAGAGGTTAGTTTTTTGATGACCACAGATAATTTGTCTCATGGATTATTATTGTCAATTTTGATTAGTAAAATGCATACAGTCAAGTGATTTTTCTCGATAATTGAGTACACATTTTCCACTTCAGGCACCAGGTTCAGGCCCCTGTCATTTGAAGTCCCCAAACCTCTTTTTCCTGTTGCTGGAGTCCCAATGTTGCAACATCACATTGAGGCATGCGCCAAAGTGAGTATCTCCTTCCATCTCAAAGGATGGGCTCCTCTCAGTGTTATTGTTTTTCCTATTATTGTGTGTGTTACAGGTCCCGAATATGAAGGAGATTTTGCTTATTGGCTTTTACCAACCTAATGAAGAATTGACAAGATTTCTTGTCAATGCACAGCAGCAATTTAAGATTTCAATCAGGTAATTTAATTAAAAGTTTGATCAGCTTTCTACTGTAACATGTCTCTTAATAGTTTTCACTTACTAGTTTATGGTAAAAAAAAAATATAATATCTGGTTTGTTTGAAGTTTTAAACTACTCTCTTTTTGCACATTTAAGTATTTTGTTTCAAAATCTTGTTTTCCTGAATTCTGTTCACTGCAGGTATCTTCAGGAGTATTCTGCCTTGGGCACTGGAGGGGGACTTTATCACTTTCGAGATCAGATTGTTTCGGGAAATCCTGAGGCTTTCTTTGTTCTCAACGCAGATGTATGTTCAGCATTCCCCCTCACTCAAATGCTCACCTTTCAGAAAGAACACGGAGAGCCAAACAGCTTTGTAATCCTCGCCGCTACAGTAAGACGAGAAATTGCTATTTTCATTTTTACAAAAATATGTATATTTATTTTTTTGTTCTGTTAGGCGAACCGAAAGCAGTCCCTAAATTATGGATGCATTGTTGCAAAGGAGGACACAAATGAGGTAATTCTTATCACCTCATTAGCTTGAATTATCTTACAGTTGTGCTTGAAAGTTTACACATCCAGGCGGAAATACTGATTTTTGTTTTGTTTTTTTTGTTCTTCTTGGCAAAAAGCCCCCCGTTCCTGTATATTCCTTGGCCCCATTGCATGACCTGCACATTTGAGATCTCCCTAGAGCAGCTAAATTATGTTATTGTTTATCTATTCATTAATTTGACGGGGATATAGAAAATCAACATAGAACAAAACTATCTTGTAACTGATGCGATGCAAAAAGAGTTTATAGCAACTACAGTCCCTGGTTGGGTCTTTCTACACTACGTTAACATTTTCAATATTATCTTAAAGGCAAGGCAAGGCAAGTTTATTTGTATAGCACAATTAATACACAAGGCAACTCAAAGTGCCTTAAAAACGTACCTATATACTGTTTAGATCATTTACACACACAAACTCAGTGCTATTTACAAGCACACGTACAAATTTGAAAATGGAATCCACTTTTATTAGAGAATATATGTTTATTTACATTTATGTTTTAAGTTTTTGTTAACTTTCACATCTAAATCTATGGGAGTGTCAACTTTCAAGAAAAACTGCCTTCATAATATTTGTCCCTCCAGGTCCAGCACTATGTTGAAAAGCCGAGCACATTTGTTAGCGACATTATCAACTGTGGGATCTACCTGTTTAACCCGGACATCTTTAAGCACATCGGGGCAGTGTTCCAGAAGAACCAGCAGGACATGTTGTTGTGAGTCCGTCTTCTGCCTCTCCTGTTACAGCATGCAAATGACCATCACCTTTGTTGTTTTCTTCATTTCTCCTCTTCCCTCTCCATTCCTCCATGATCTCTGTTACTCCATCAGATATCCATACGAGGGGTAAGTTGGTTTGTGTAGATTGCACGGTGTGGGTAGAGCACAAGTGTGTGGTGTGGAAAAGAGCATTTGCCTCATGTATAATGTCGGCTTTTGCTTTGTCCATAGTGAGTTAGGATTTAGTTTGCAGTGCTCTAAATTGCATCTTGTTCCGCAAAATATCAACGTGCTGTGGCTTATAGAACAGACCTTGAAATCCAAATGTTAAATTAAAAAAGATCACAAGTCTAGTTTTAGTTTAGTGTACTTTATTTAAAACAACGATGAAAAGCCAGCGTGTTATTATTATACATGTATAGGTTTGTGATTAGGTTTAGGTACTATTTACAGGGTGCTTGCAAGTCTTAATGAATATGGAATTTTGAAACACCAGACCTTGAAAAGTCTTGAATTTTGTGTGAAAGTCTTTGTAAAGTATGGAAAAAAATGTATGGTAGAAGTTGACAGTATGCTCAAAGGCATTGTGAAATGAGAAATGGGAAGGTAGGCGATAAAACTATAATTTTACGCACTGGTCACGTACTGTATTAGCCTAATGGAATGATATCCAATCAGTGCTTGCGTAGCCTCGTCTGGCACATGTTTGTGATGTCACTGCTGAGGTCTTCTGTCCATAGCTAGCCTCGTGGTCAATAGAAAAGGATCGTTGCGTGATTTCGAATTTATGGTCTTTTCTTGGGAATAAATATATATTTTAATAAGGTCTGGAAAAGTCTGGAAGAGCAAGCACCCTGTATTCGGGAACTGGTCAAATCTACTTTTTAAATTCTTGTTAATATTTTAGTTTAATCATTTCTTTTATTTCTTGTTAATATCAGTGACACAGTGACTAATAATGGCATGTTAGTGATTTTAATAGTATTTATTATTAGGTATTGATCCCTCTTATTGACAACCCTAGCCTTAAGCATGTTTGACTATTGGTTATTTTACCGTACCGCTTTTCAGAATCTGTTTTTGATCATGGAGGTGATCTGCTTATTGTGAAAAGTTCCAACACTGGTTTCATGCGGAAGATATATGGCTTCGGCTTTAATGTTTAGTTTGGTTTTTAAAGTGTACATTCCGCGGTTATAGATGATTTTTAGTGCTTGAAAATAAGATAAAATTCAGAGGTAGTCTTGGTTCTGGCCAGATTTAGTTTTCCCTCCCTGTTGTTGTAGAAATAGTGTTCTTGTCTTGTCTCCACTCGTCTCACTGCTCGTCTTGTAGCAGTGAATTTCCCGTGATTCATTTTTCTCCTTTTTTCTTTTCCTCTTTTAAAAAATGCACTCTATCAAAGGCATTTTGTCCGCGGGCACTTGGTTATTTCTCATTAAATTCTAGGGGATTTTAATTCTTAATTATACTGTAAATTAATTTGTGGTCACCCAATCTGACTCATCTCCCATCTGTAATCTCTGCACTGAAGCTGCTCCTTTTTCTGAGCACATCATAGATTCTTGTTAGGAAGTGCATCTGCTGAATACTACACGCTCTCATGGGGGCCGCTCTGCCTTACAGCAACTCCCCTGCTTTTCAGTAAAACTTCGATTATGGGTTGCTATCCGTTAAATATTGATGAAATGAATATTTTAAGAGACTGTTTCATCTCAGGGCTCTCACAATGCTCTATATCAGAGAGTCAGGCTTTTTAATATGGAGCATGTAGACTCTCGCCTGAAGTTTTGGACACTAGGTAATCAGCTCGGCTATCAAGTCAGCACTGACCCGTCTGCGTGGCCCTGCATTTTTAATCCACAGAAATGCAACTTATTTATTCTCCAGGCTCAGTTTCACCCAAGAAAATGGTGAACTTCAAAAAGTACTTTAAAGACGCACTATGTAACACACCACCTGCTGATCTTTCTGTGTGTCAGAAGGTTAAAGGTGACGTACATAACTTTCAAACAACAAAAAATGGAACAAAGTAAAAAACCAGTTCATGTTTCTCAAAACAGTTTGGTTCTATTGCCGTTTTAAAGACGTACTGTAAAATGTGTTTTAAAAAAAGACAGAAAAGGGAAAATTTGACGACCACCCTCACTCAGCCAATCAGCTCAAAGCATAAATTAGTGACTCATAGGGACACACAATATAATGTTTTTAATAAAATAAAGTCATCATGTGGTGGTGTGATTTGTTCACATTTTACTCTTATAAGACTTTCTGCTGGGACAAACATTTATGAAGAATAAAGTTTGGTAGATCAGATTTAAACATTTATTCCCACAGGGACAAGCCAGAAGACAACCAAATGTCATGACTACCCTGTGGAAAAATCGATTCTAATTAATTTCACCAATTTAACATCTAACATTGAGTAAATGCAGGGTATGTTTTAGAAACAGATGGCGAACCTTTCACCAGAATGTTACTTTTTGCACTTTTGGAAAGACTTAAGGGCACACTCACAGACTTTAGACTTTTCAGATAAATGCACTTTTGTGTTAAATGAAAGTGTGTCTTTTCCAGAGAGGAGCAAAACAATGGATGGCATAGAGCAGAGCACATCCGCCTGGAGCAGGACATTTTCACTGCTCTGGCGGGACAAGGGAAACTTTACGTGTACAAGACTCCAGGCTTCTGGAGCCAGATTAAATCGGCAGGGTGAGTGTCTGACATTGAATTTTTTAAATGCCTCAAAAGAAACGGTTCAGTCATTTTCTTTGTCGAGTTTAGTTGAATTTCCCGTAGCTTCAGTACAATCTAGGGTGCAGAAATATAATTTAAACAAGTTTGCACTGTCATTTTTTTTGATTTCCTGATTGATGAAGTTTTTGACTTCATAGGGACTTGTCAAATTTAAAGCTGGGGTACTTCACTTTCCACTACATAAATACCCACTTGGATGTAATAAAATCCATGTTTCTCTGTATAGTTCCTGGCTCAAAAACGGGTTTCATCACTAGTTTTAACTTTCATACATTTTTGGCTTCTGTGACTCACAGGCCTCTGTCTATATTATATTGTATTTGGGACAAACAAAATGTATTTATTATTTTTTTTTTAAAGTCAAAAACCCCATCTTTTAATAAACACAGTAAATACTAATAGCACTATATGCACTAGATGACATTCTAATTTATTTCATTAGATCTGCCATCTATGCCAGCCGCTTGTACCTCAACCAGTACCATACGAGTCATCCTGAACGCCTGGCCTCAAACAAAGAGGGAGGCCCCAAAATTAGTGGTAATGTTTATATTCAGCCTCAATAATGTACATGATTATTCTGTTATTATTGTCAATACATCATTTTCATATGTCTGATTTTGAAGGTAATGTTTACATCCATCCGACGGCAACTATTGACCCCACAGCAACAGTGAGGAAATACTATGCTACTACTTCATATTTAAAAGTAATGATGAAAAGTGAAATGTGATTATTACATATTTGTCTCTTATTTGCAGTTGGGCCCAAATGTGTCGATCGGGATGGGCGTGACGATCGGCGCAGGAGTGAGAGTACGAGAATCCATCATTCTTCATAATGCGACGCTACAAGTAAGTATTTCAAATCAAAATGGCCATAAACTCAATTTAATTAGCAATTAGACATGATAGTGTAGAGATATTATTAATCACATGGACATTTTAAAACACCGACTATAGGCTAAACAATTGAATGAACTGGCACATGGATCGGCTTACAAATTGAGAACTATATTTATTTTATTGAGAACACTGGCCACAAATCACCCTCGGCCCCCTCTGTTTTTATCGTCACGTTTTCTGTCATGTGCGACATAGATTGTTGCGTACGTTTCTTCACAAAGCTGTCGTTTGTAATGATTTGTGAACAGATTTAATTTAATCTCATGTCTCCAGTGATGAGTCTGAGGCTTCATAATGGGAGTTTGTCTGACATATTGATTGCATTGTTTCGCTCACAAGGACAGTTTGTCATTCGGGATGTGCTTCAGAAATGAACACTAAATCTCCAATGTACAATCCTGGCCCGAAACAATATTTATTTATAATTATTTGTGTCTATTTTATTGCAGAGTAAAGAGAGTAACAACCCTTAAGTACGCAGTGATGCTGGTTAAAGCCATTTACTTTTGCTCATAGCATATTTGTTCATAGCACACTTTCAGTTTTGACTTCTCCATTACCTCTTCATCCCAATCTTCTATGGGTTTCAGAATGATATTGTTGTGGAATTTCTGTACAAAGCGAGAGCATCAATAATGAAAAGGAAAATTAACAACCAAGAGCACTACTTCCATCAAAGTGTGGTCCATTAATTTCAGTAAATTTATACATAGACAAGAAATACAACCGTCTCCCCCGAACGACCCCCTCTCCTGGCATTAAGATTCAGATTCATTTGGGCGGCACGGTGGCTGAGTGGATAACACTCTCACCTCTCAGCAAGAAGGTCCTGGGTTCGAATCCTGGTCGGACCAGGGCTTTTCTGAGTGGAGTTTGCATGTTCTCTCCATGTCTGCGTAGGTTTCCTCCGGGTGCCACGGTTTCCCCTACCACTATAAAAACATGCACAATAGGTCTGAATGTAAATGAGAGAGTGAATGGATGGTGTTGATTGGAGCTGATGGTCCAGTGTGTTCGGCAACTCGCTTCTGTCATCACCGTGTGTGGAATGATTGGAACAATATCTGAACTCTGAACATTGTAAAGCGCTTTGGGTGAACTTGGTCTGTAAAATGTGCTATATAAATAAACATTACTTACTTATTATATTGTCTCCGGAGAAATGTATCTTGGAGCATATATACAGAAATAACATAAAACACAGAATACACACATTAACATTGAAACATTTGCACAATCCCCTGATGTTATTTAGCAGCTGTTTGGACTGAGCTACAAGAGTTCTTAAACCTGTTGCTTTTGCACAGTGGGATCCTGTATCAAGTGTAAACAGAGCCTATCTACTACTGGTGACAGCAAAGGGATTCTTTTTAATTTTTAATTTAACCAGGAAAGTCCCTTTGAGTCCTACAGTTGCACACAAAATTGTTTCACAAAATTACAAGATATTAACATAGTTTGAGAGCACTTGAGACATCTGAGACAATCTTCACTTAACTGAACTTATTTCATTGAATTTTTTTATTTTCCAGTTTTCTTGCAACACGTTCCATATAGAAGGAGCAGAGTTTACAAACGCCTTTTTTCTCTCAGTTCTGTGTAGGTAAAAGGAACAGATATCTGTCGTTCAAAGCGTTTTCTCTCTCTGCTACAACTCTGACATTTATAAAACAATCAGCTGTGATCTGGACATACAGTTCTTTAACGTAAATATTAAACTAATATATGTTGCTCCCTCTCCTTTGGTGTGTACAGAACAGAAAATTAGCCTTTGGGTTAAAGTGCATAACCCATTGTTGATTTATCCATAACTTATTGATTCATTTGTAAGTTTATGTTTAATTTGTAACAAGTCAGATTTCTATAACAATGGACATTTTGGACTGTTGCCAAATACACAAAAGCAATGAACAATTTGTAACAAAAATCATGATTGAGAAACTTCAATTCCTGCAATAAAATGTTGTAATATTAGTTGTACTGAGACATGTCTGACCCCTCTGTCCTCCAGGATCACTGCTGTGTTTTGAACAGCATTGTGGGATGGGACAGCACCATCGGAAAGTGGGCGCGAGTGGAGGGAACGCCCAGCGACCCCAACCCCAACGACCCGTACGCCAAAATTGACAGTGAAACATTATTCAGAGAAGGAAAACTCACTCCGTCTATTACTATTTTAGGTAAGGTCTATTCAATGATGTTCTCTCATGTTTTCTTATACCAAGATATGGTGAATAAAATGACTGTACCATAGGGAAAAAAGGTGAGAGAGAGAGGCCAGAGAGAGAGAGGGAGGGAGGCCAGAGAGAGGGAGGGAGGCCGGAGAGAGGGAGGGAGGCCGGAGAGAGGGAGGGAGGCCGGAGAGAGGGAGGGAGGCCGGAGAGAGAGGCCAGAGAGAGAGAGAGAGAGAGGCCAGAGAGAGAGAGAGAGAGAGAGAGGCCAGAGAGAGAGAGAGAGAGAGAGAGAGAGAGGCCGGAGAGAGAGAGGCCAGAGAGAGAGAGAGAGAGGCCAGAGAGAGAGAGAGAGAGGCCAGAGAGAGAGAGAGAGAGGCCAGAGAGAGAGAGAGAGGCCAGAGAGAGAGAGAGAGGCCAGAGAGAGAGAGAGAGGCCAGAGAGAGAGAGGCCAGAGAGAGAGAGAGAGAGGCCAAATCAGTGTCATAATCTTTATGATGAACATGCATTTCACTTTTCCAAGACAAACTGATGGGAAAAGCCTCAGGAACATGCAGTAACTGAACACTATGGGGACAGCATCAGCAGGAATGAAACGCAAAGTGCTCAAACTCAAAGGCTGTAAAAACTGTTGTATGTTTTGTCCCCTATAAACCAAATCTACTCGAAATGCGTTCACCTCGCACTGTGCCTTGCTCTTACCACTTGCGTTCTGTTTGGCCTTGGGGCTCGGTACATTTGCATCGTCAGTAAAAAGAATAATCAAAAACTGTAAAGCACACAGCCCGTTTTGGTCGAGCGTTCTGTATTTTGTGCGGAGCTTTGACTAACTCCAGCCTCTCTTTATTTCCGCAGGTTGTAATGTGAGTATCCCCTCTGAGGTCATTATACTCAACTCCATCGTCCTCCCACACAAAGAACTCAACCGCAGCTTCAAAAACCAAATCATCCTCTGAAGCCGCTCGACACGGCCTCTGAGTTACTGTATATAACATGACAGAAAGAGAAAGATATGGGAAATTATTGAGGGATAGATTTTTTTTATATTTGGCTGCCAGTCTGTATGCATGAGTGTGGAGATTGACTGACCTTGATATTGGCCCTGTTCAACCATAACATTATGACCACCTGCTCTATATCAAGAAGAAACCGAAACTTGCCAAATGTCGAATTGACTTGATAGCAAACCTAGGAAACATCTGCAAATGTTCTATGCAAGTTATTATTGTGATTAACAGTGCTACTTATTACACATAATTCATGATTCCAACAAAAAGGGTTAGGAAACGATCCAATTTCAGTAGATTTGTGCTTAAAGTAAATATATCTGTGTTTTATGCATGCTTGACCACAAACCAGGTGCTGATTTAGAGTTAAAACGAGGGCTCTCATGCTGGGCATCCTGGGTAATTCCTGACACTATCTGCATGATACTATGGCCGCTCAGAGGAGTAACCGTAGCAACAGGCTCCTATCACAGCGCTGCCGAACGAAACTTTTCAAGAGATCCTTTACTCTTTCGACTGTCAGACTGTACAACAAACCTGGATGAGTCGTCTTCTGCTGGCAACCTGAATTTCTTAAGAAAGTATCTATCTAGTGGCAATGAATCACGGCTCAAATACAGGACAAAACAACAACAAAGTATGTGGAAATCATAATGGAAGCGTAATCAAAATTGAACTTGTTTTTTTTTGGTCTTACAAACGAGTAAATATCAAACAGTCGTACAAGTGATAAAGTCCAATAAGAATTCTTATTCAGTCAATCTCTTCATCTCTGGTGGTCATAATGTTGTGGCTGAGAGTGAATGAGGTGTTTTTAGTACATTTACCCAAACTTAATAAAATGACTAATATATTTTGTTAGATGTATACTGTGAAGACTAGTTAATTAATGGTACTGTTTCCCTGGACTGATTATGACCTTTGCCATTCGAACAATAAGGGAATAAAACACTCTGGTGAATCTTGGCTACAATCATGTGTGCGGCTTCTGATTAAAACTTTTCTTATTGTTCGGCTCTATTGTTCCTCGCGCCAGTATAAATCAGCTCATTTGGGATTTGCATGCATTGTAATCAAGAGAGGTTGGCTTTTTTCTAATTTGGACCCAGTGGGGAGCGTGCACACTTTTACTGTATAACTTCACATGCAGAAGTTGTTTTGCAATCAATGGAGAGGTTTTTTTTTAATTTGGTCTCCAAGCACATTAACATTTTCTTATTAAGCCCTCGAGCGCTCCTGATCACTTCCACACTTTTGCTCCAATTACCGCCTTCACCACTGTCTATTAAGAGTGATGTAAATGATGATTTCAAAGTACAGCATAATATATTCTAATCAAGTCTCTTCAGTCTGTCCTTCACGCAATGTTACAAAAACATGTTAATTAATACTTTCATTCTCGGTTTTGTTCTTGTTTCACAGTGGTGATTATAAAGCCACTTAACCACATTTATTTGGTGCTTTGCGTGGTGTTCAAACGGTTAAACGGTAATGTTTGGTTACATGGTCTTTTTAGTGACTTGATTTGAATGTGATCATAGCCACACACAGGAAAAGGGGAATGAGAGAATGAAAAGTGGATGCGTCAGAATGACAAGTGGATGCGTCAAAAATGCAGCCTTAAAACATAAAAGTTATAGAGTCAGAAGTCAGACACTCGAGTGGAAGTGGTCCCAGAAAAAAACAAAAGTGAGACACAATGATGTAGTTGTGCAGGGCAATTAAAGAAGTGAAGAAGGAAAGGATTTTGCATGATAGTCTAGGACAAATGGACCCTCTGTCTATTTCATTACATAATGATGGGACCCCCAAGTCTGGCCTCTTTCATCTGCACCTGGGATTCCCCTAGCCCGGAGTCTTGGGCTGCACCCACCCCTCCCCGCCTGGGAGCTGGCTCTGTCCTCGTTTTACAGCTTGAGTCTGTGGGAGCAGTTTCCTCTGGTGACTTTCCCTGAGGTTTCTCTCTTTTTCCCATTGGCTTTTCGAGTTGTTCCTGCATCAGAGGGTCTAAGGACATTTATAGATGTTTATTAACATTTATGGAAATTGGTCATCCGTTATCTGTACACCAATAGTAATCACCTAATCCTATTTGTTTCTTATTATTTTTATCATGATATAATAATTTATTAAGTCCTCCAGGATGACTACTGTTGTGATTTAGGGATATACAAAAAAATACATTTATTTGACTCTGAGCCTGCAGATCATATTTAGATTTTCAAACTGTCAAAATTGGTTCAACCTTGATCCAGATTTTAACCAGTGGATAGTACTTTACATAAGCAACATTTGAGTTCCACAACTAAATGTTCAAGCTCAATGAAAATGACTGCTAAAGAGGTGGTAAAGGCATGGAGAGGCTGTGCTCTTCAAGGACTTGATCAAAAAGCATTAAATAATATAGAAATTTGACATGCCAATGAAAATAAACAGTGAAACAGGAGAGTGAACGCAAAGAGTGAGTGTTATCTTGTGAAATAAAAGCCTGTTGCATAATTAAAATGTTGTATACTAATGATTTTGAAAATAGGCCCTCTGAAGAATGTGCACGGGGAAAAACCCCAAGGACAAGGATTGCAAACAGGAATAAAGAGGGTCAAATGGAGAAACTACAATCAGTCATAGAGATACCAACTTTCAAAACGGGACAAATTATTAACTCCAGGAATAAACATTCTTGTCTCTCTGGCGAGGCCAAAAGTCCAAAAACACCATCTGGCTAATCTCTCTCAGGCAGACTGGGAGATTCTCCAAAGGCATTCTGACGCCTCCCAGTGGACACGGGACGCCAGCACACCCGAAAAGAACATTCGGGAGACGCCCACAAGTGACGTCATCAGACGTCTTGATAAAACTGTTGGTTTGAGTTCTGGGGGGAAGGTTAGCGCAGGGGAAGAGGAGAGGGACATATTAGTTTTAGGAGCACTTTTTGTTGAATATTCTGTATCTGATTGTAAAGATAATTAAATGCAGATGTTAAACTTGGAGATCTTTGTCTTACTCTTGCATCAACTTTGTACACGTCCAGTCAAGGGAATTATTGACTACATTTGGAGACCCCCGACGTGATGGTGCAGAAGAAAGACAGAGATGAGCTCAAATATAGACTGGGTCCGTGGGCCGGGAGAATTCTCTCTTCTCTTCTCTCTTCTCTTCGAAAGAGGTAAGCGGATCGTTACTTTTGAAAATCTGCACATTGTTTTAAATGGAAGAGAGAGAGAGAATTCGGCTCGACGGACTGCAGCGTGGCCAGGCGACCGCCGTGATGGGTGTTCCATCGGACGGGATAGAACAAGAGTCAGGTTTAGACGTTTTAACCTTGGGGGAAGCATGGGTCCCTCCAAAAAAAACAGAACAGATGATGAAAAGAGCCACAGGGGTATAAGTGCAAAAGAGGCACAACTGTTTAGATAAATAGGATTAGAGAGATAGGGATAGTTAGGGTCAGAAGTGATAGGATAATAAAACCTTCTATATCCCCCGGGGGCGGGGAAAAGGGCACAATTAATTTAAACAGAAGAAAAGCCAAGTATTTAAAATGTGGATTCTGATAATAATGATCTGATTAATGAGGAAAAAGAGAGCCTCTTGGCTGTAGTATACGAGTTTCATGTGAAGAAATGATCAGTTATGGAAGTTTTTCTCTTATTCTGATGTAATGTTTAATAGTCACAGAGAATCAAAAAAAAAAAAAAGAGATTCTGCTGGGACTATTACTCATGTAAGCAAATAGTAATGTTTTCCATTACTGACGTATTTAAGGATAAAATGTAAAGTGTCGTTTGACGTGAGAAAAACTTTTACCACTGATTTAGAACCTTGTCACGAGAAAAACGAGAAAAGTATTTGACTCCATGCTTCCTTTGTTCGGGAGGCCCCTCCCCTCCCTCGTTCTGTTCTCTCTCTCTCCTCTCTCTCTCTCTCTCTCTCGTGAAGAAAGAATTTTTTGTAGAAAATTACATTTATACACACGATAATGTTACTGACATGGAGTCATAGGATCACAGAACTTTGAGTTAGATTATAAAGAGGCATTATTTTATTTTTTATCTCCAAGGCGTCTAGACAAGTTTTTTTCCCTACATTTTGGTGATATAAAAGTTAGAATGATCTTAGAGAGCATTATACTTTTGGAAAAATAGGGCTTAGGATAGTAGTTGAATGCAGATTTGGTTTTCAGAATTTAATGTTTAAAATGTTAATAGTAATTATTTCATAGGTTTACTTAGATTCGTAATTAATCATTGGTTTTGTATTGTATTAACACACTTGTTTGTGTTTCTTGTTTGTCTGTTTTTTCTGAGAAAACTTCTGTCTGTTTCATTGGCCGATCGCCAAAATCGTCCCTGCCACAAACCACAACCGAGCATCATCATCATCATCAGCGTCTCCCCCTCTCCCTGCGGGTCGCAGGGGGCAGCATCGGCTGCAGCAGCTAACAGGAACTCTCGAAGAAGACTCCTCCTGCCTGTGAGGAGGCAAAGAAAAGACCGCAGACTTGTTCACAAACTGAGTGTTGTCCCATCTACGGAACAGAAGGTGGCGGTAATGCTAAAAATAGGCCGCCAACCGCCGGAAAAGCTAACAAGAAGAAAATGATTGAAAAGAAAAAGACATTGCAAGGAGAAGAAAGTTATTGAAAGAAGAAGAAAGAAAGTGATTGTTTAAAGAAGAAGGAAAAAAGGCATTGAGGCAAAGACATCGGACACTTTGAGACAAAAGACATTGAAAGACGCCATAAGAGGACGTGGCCAGGCTAAATGAGACAGACAGAAGGTAAATATATACAGACAACAAACGCACAGAGACATATTAAGTTATATTTACACATTTAGGTCATTCGTTCATAACACCACATTTAGCTGCATGAAAGAATACAGGACAATCGTTAAAATTAATTAGACTCTTGCTTTAGCATGAGACACAAGGAGATTAGAACAGCAGTA